GCATAACTTTGAAAATTTATTATACTAAAAAGTCTACTATCTACAAAGACACAAAGCAACCACAGAGAGAAGAGGGCTGAGAACTCAGTCCTGCCACAAGTGGAAAGTTGCAACTTCAGAGTCAACCATGCAAATGTAGATGTTAAGGACATATTTACTTTCCTCCTGATGGGTTTAGACTGTAGCAGCTTTGACAATATTTGTGCTTGAGATGTTTATGTGGACATCTAGTTACCAGCTAGACACTGGAAAGACCAAGAGAGTTTGCAAGTCACTCGTTGGGAAGATCATAAAAGGGAATAGATTCAAGTATGCCAAACCCAAGCCACTCTGTGAGACTCGAAGTTCCAAGGTCTCCTCACCACCCACCCCTTCCACCTTCTGCAAAATTTGGGTGCCAAGGCCACCATGGACTATCCTGTTAAGGGTGTCAGTGGCATTATTCTAGAATAAATTAGATTTGAGGAATGCATTGGTAAGAAAACATTGGAGGGAATATAGGGGAGGATTTTAAGGCAAGAACCATTCTGATGAGCAAGGTTGCTCTTTACCAAAAGATGGATAGGGAGTCACCCAGTAGGGTGGGAGGGGACACAGGATTAGAACTAGTAGCACCCTTTATGGGTTTAACTTAGTGCTGTCTCTTGCAGTACAAGAAAAGGCATATTAGCAGTTTAAAATTTTCCCTTTCATATTTGCAATTTTGTCTAGTTACCCCAACACCACAATAAAATCCGATAATCCTATACATGCTTGTGTGATATTGTAAAGGATAAAGCAACAGGAGTATAAATTGAATTGTCACTTACCCTATATTTACCCCTTCATGGGAGCCCATAGAGGGTCCAGCATCTAGCGAGGAGACCATGTCCCAAAGTTCCAGGATATGACCATCAACAAAAGGACCTGGAAATGGTGAGAAGCACAAAGTGCTGGCCAGTAAATGCCAAGTGACCTGCTCAAAATTGATATAAATCCTCCTTGGTACTAATCCATACTAGAAGAAAGGGACCCTTGGGTAGAGGCTGGCTGGTGATTAAACTACATACCTCCACTTGAGCTTACGTTAATTTGAGTTTTCTTTTTTAAAATATTTATTTATTTATTTATTTATTTATTTATTTATTTATTTATAGACAGATTGAAAGAGAGGGAGAGAAACGTCAGTGTGTGGTTGCCTCTCATGCGCCCCTACTGGGGACCCAGCCCATAACCCAGGCATGTACCCTGACCCAGTGACTCTTTGATTCACAGGCTGGCACTCAATCCACTGAGCCACACCAGCCATAGCTAATTCAAGTTTTCTTGAATCCTTTTTATCCAGATTTTCAAAACAGCGTGGTTATACAAGTGACTCTAAAATTATTTTTGTAGACAATATGTTATATTTATTTTCCATGTCTAGTTCATAAATTTTACAGATGTGCTTTCTCTGTGTTTTAATTGATTTAGCTAGCTGAATTTATTTTACTAATAATTTATTTTACTAATTTTGTTTTCTATTGGTACTTCTATCTCTCACCACGTACACACACAAGAACCAGCTCCTGGATTTATTTACCAAATCTGCTTTGAATTCCAACCTCACGCTGATTTCTCCTTTACATTCTTTCTATTCTCACTTCCTCTCCTTTATTTTTTCTGACCATTTCTTAGAAATTTGTTTTAAAATAAATAGCTAATTTATTTCCAACCTTCCTTATTTCAGTCATATAAATACTTAAGATTATGAATTTTCCTTGGATCATGCCTTGGTCAGACCTCAGAGATTTTTGTCCTTAATGTTCTCGTTAATATTGTTTTCGAGGCACTTTAAAAAAAAAAGATTTTATTCATTTATTTTTAGAGAGAGGGGAAGGGAAGAGAATGAGAGGGAGAGAAACATCAAAGAAGGGAGGGTGAAAGATAAACATCAATCACTTCCTTCCCATAAATGCCCCAGCTGGAGATGGAACCCAAAAACCAAGTATGTGCCCTGACTGAGAGTCAAACCAGTGACCTTTCGCTTTGCAGAATGATGCCCAGTCAACAGAGCCACACTGGTCAGGGCTCAAGGCACTCTTAACTGTGATGTGGTTTCCTCTATATTTCAAGAGTAAAGCAGGAGAATTATTTTCCAAAGAGTTGAACTATTTATTTATTCCCACTTTTGTTATTTCTAATTTTATCACATGGTCAGAGAATTCTGCCATAACAAATCAACTTTTTGTATATGTACCGAGGTTTGCTTTATAATCATTATGACCATTTTTTATGCTTTAGGGGTCTTTAAAAATAACATATGTTCTCTCTTTTCAGGATGTGTCTTTCTCTTTCTCTCCATGTAGATATATAAGTAGTATAACCTTATTAATTGTATTGTTCTCAGAACAAAGTGTTAGGAGGTCAAGCTCTGACGTCAAGCAAGTCTGTGTGACTGTGAGCATATCATTAACCTCTCAAAACCCCAGTAAAAGTGGGCGGAGTAGCTCACTGAGCACGTAGACCTAAAAGGGCTTTTGACCTTCCTATGTACTTCTTTCAAGCCCAAATAGCTGGTCCACAGGAACTCCTATCACAACCCCTTGTGCTTTCTGACATCTAGCACCCTAAACTCCCCAGGCCCTCTCACTATTCTGTGCCAATGAGATTCTCTTATTCTTATCTCCAATGCCTCTGTCCTCTACCCATTCCTTATCTCCGTATGTCAAACTGCAAACACAGGGCCTTAGGCTGTTGTCCCTCCTCCCGAGGGAATACGACATCTGGATTTAGTCCTGGTGCTGGAGAATCCATCCTCTGCACTTCTCCCTGTCCGCTCCATGTCCTCTTTCTCCTCTGAGACTGGGGGAAGTAGTAGGCAATGAAGTTTGTGACCTACTCTCCATATGTTAATAAGTGTTATTATAGCTATTTAAAAGTCTCATTATGTGACTCACGTGTGCCAAGCCTTGGAAGTCATAGGCACCATGTAAATCACCCAACTGAGTACTGAGTGCACCGTTCAGACACCGTGAACTGCACAAGGTTACAGAGCTATTTGGTTAACTTTTCCCCCCGTCCAGTTCCCTTTCTACTATCTTATCCCAAACTTTTGGGGAATTTCCTGACTTCTTGAGAATTTTCTTTGTAAATGCATTCAGATCAGTTCCTTTTTGTTTTCCCCAAAATTTCCTAGTCCATTGACTAGAAAGTATTTTATACGATTCTGACTGCTATTGCTCCCTTCATCACCCAGCCACCCACCTTTTCGTATCTCACCGTTGCTTTGGAAAGGAGCGCATTCAAAGCTGGCCTCATTCCAGAATTATGAAAAGGACACCCATACTTCAGAAGAGCAGAAACTCTTCACAACGCCAGGACTGGGAAGAGGTAACTAAAGGAAAGAGAAAGTTGAAAACCTAGACTGGGAATAGCTTTCCTAGGTGAAAATGACATTTTTCCCCCTCATGGAAACTGTAAGGTTTTGAATCCGACCCAGAGACCCATCCTTGTCTGGGAAGGGATCTTGACTGCAAGCTGTCAAGTGCTCAGACCAACCCAAAAGCCAGAGAAAGGGCGGCCGGGTGCCACTGATGGGAGGGGCTCCCGGCCCAGCCCTGGAGGCCTCAAGGGCTCAGCGGCCCACTCAGATTGTGCTGCAGAGCAAGAGAGAGGAACTGGGGTGAGCAAGCACTGCGGCTTTGTCTGTTTCCTGTTTCGGCAAGGTTTCTGTGCAAAAAGAAACACAGGACCAAGAAGAGAAATGCTAAGGGGGCCCAGAGCCATGGATTGAGAGCTTGCACTTTACTCAGCTGCTGTCTTACCCCATCTGAGACCAGAGCCGAGATCTGCCTGGGAGCTGGAAGGTTTTTCTGAGCTGCTTGGGTTGGAGCCTGGGACCCGAGGTAACTGAAAAGGAGGATGTTTCTGTGTTCAGGTTGGGGTCCTCCGACTCCGGGGTGGAACAGAAGACCCTCCATCATCCAAGCTTCCCTGGGCTGAAGGGGGAGATGGTGTAATTTAAGAGTGTTAAGTGTTGGGTAACCAACCAGCACCCTGCGTTGGTTTCCAGAGCCACCGGCCACAGCACAGCGGTCGAGGTCCCATCGCTTCACCCCTCCATCCATTAGGTTAAATTAGGAGTGAGTCAAATGGCAGGGTTCGGGCAACCCAGTGTCAGGGACATAACTTAAATGAACTTTTACAGTGCCCTGCAAAGCAGGGATCCGCCGAACAAGAAGCTGCCTTTCCAGCAGCTTAGGTGCAGGCCCTTCTCTCAGTCAGTGCACACCAAGCTCTGGGCTCGTAGGCCGACCTGTGATGGGAGCCAGTCACTGCACACACAGCCGGGAAGTGGGAGCAGAGACTCGGGTGGTGGCGACAAACCGCTGTTGGGTGAGGGGCCGCACCCTCATATCTTCCTCTGGCAGCAAGGAGAACTGTCTCCAGCCAATCCCACGTACCTCCGCAGCTCCAACGGTACCCTGTCATGCTGCCAAGGACACCCCACAGATGCCAGAAAGCCCGGACAGTGGCCCAGTGACCTCTCTTTGAACCACACAGGGACCAATTCCTTTTTCTTCTCCAGCCTGTCCCTGTCAGTCAGCCTCCCACATGGCTTCTTGTGTGCAAGCAAATCAGAATAGTCAACGCATCCCAGAAAGCTGGGAATGACTCCACTACCAGGTGCCCTGGCCTCAGAGTCGGGGAATGCCCCCTTCTCTAAGGAGTCATTTCTACTGCATCTCCCTGTTTGGGTAACAAGCCCTAACACGTGCCCCTTGGGAGGTAGAGCAGGACAGCATGTGTTTCAGCGGACTAGGGCACACAGCCGGGCAGAGCCCAGAGAGCCCTTCTCTCAGACTCCATCTCCTCCCCCAGCCCTTTCCTCATCACAAGACAAAAGGGGAGGGTTCTCCATAACCGGGGATCCACGTTTTCGACATAGCCTGTGGACTACCTGGAGCCAGGCAGGGTGGGGACCTCGCACCCCACGTGACCATTCTTGGTCCTGAGAGTGTAGGTCAGTGAGGGGCCTAAGTCTCACCGTGTCTTCAGTAGCCAAGATCAACAGGACAGGGGTGAGAATGAGCATAGCCTAGGTTTATTAGTAGTATAAAAAGCCAACACTTATTGTGTGCTGTGTGTGTGCCAGATGCCTGACATGTATTTTTTCTTTAATTCTCATAATCTTATGAGATAGGTTCTCATGGTATCAATTAGGAGACTGAAGCTTAGAGATGTTGGATTATTTGTTCAAAAGCACACAGGAAGTAGGTGACTGAGCCAGGATGTGAAGCCACACAGTCTGAGTCCAGATTCAGGCTCCCCCCCGACCCCCGCCCACAGCAGAAGGACCAGGAGCTGCGGCACAGGATGCCACAGCACAGGTTCTGGACCTGGAGTTGGCCTGCACGCAATCCCAGTCTCCTCCATGCAGTCATTTACAGCTTAACAGGAGTGGGCCTCTCGGGTCCTTGTCTAAGCTCTTAGATAAAGAAAGTGACAGGTGGGAAGTCGGGGGACCTCTACAGAGTAGGGAGAAAAGCCCAAAGAAAGGTGAGAGCCAGCCAGGGATGGGATGGCAGGACAAACATAGCAACAACCTCACAGCTCGGCCTGCAGTAAGCCCTGCCCAAGACCAGATCATGCCCCATCCAAGGCTCGGGCAGTTGGGAGGGTGCAGGGCTGAACCACCTAAGACCCCTCTCGGGGAGTGAGACCTCCTCACCCATAACCCTGGGGAGTGAGGAGTATGATCAAGAGTCTTGCAGAGAATTCCAGACTGAGCCAGAGGAGCAGCCAAGTTCCACCAAAGGGGCAGAGAGGCTGCTACGTTTTGAGTCTGTTTGGCCTGTAAATAAACTCGAGGGGCCAGAGCTGGCTAAGACCTACTGTTGGTGAAGTTGGGGTATCCTTATCTGACCTACCCAGGGACTAAGTTTCCCAGGGTGGGGGGTAGTAAAGTTGAGGGACCAAGAAGAGAAGCAGCAGCTGTCAGCGGGAGCCCCTCTCCTTTCGGTGATCAGCGGAAGCAGAGCACAGAATTTCTAGTGCTCAGGATTCAGCTCAGCCCAGCTATCAGAGGGTTCTGGAGAATAAACCAATCTGCAGAAGGTAGGTGAGAAACAGGAGGGCAGAGAGGGAGGCACAGAAGCAAGAAGGATTCGGGGCTTATGTGAACAGCAGGTGAGGCCAGTAAAGGGCCCACAAAGTGTGACCTCTACATGAAAGCCCGGGGACTTGGGGTCACTATTTGTGTTTGGGTTTTTTACTTTCATTTTAGTGTGTAATGGCCATAATGAGGTATAATCCGCGTGGTTGTTGGTTGTTGGTTTTAATGCCACATTCTGTGTCTGGGCTAAGGGAAGCAGACTTAGCACCATACTCAGCTCGGTCAGGGAGGTGATCCCCCAAAAGTAGAATTTCCAGCTCAGAGAATTATTGAGCTGGAAGGTCCGAAATGGGTTTTGCCTGTCCTGGGCCAGTGCAGGTGCTCAGCCAACACTGATTTAAGAGGATCTGCACTGAGAGTTTCAGCCCAGGCCTGGGCTGGGAGTGGGGTGCCAATGAACCACTGTCAGAACATCATGATTGGATGAATCGGGAGGGTGGGGTCTCTCTCCTGAACCATGCACAGGACCAAGCTCACAAGCTAAATACTAAGGGCTAAGAAGAAAGCAGTGGGTGCTGATCTCAGAACTCGCCGCACCTTGGAGGGGTCTGATTATCCCTCCAGGCCTTGAGAAGAGTCACTCAGTCATTCATTTAATAACTTGGGCCAAGAGAGCAGTACAAATGCTGGCTTTTCCTTTAGCTCTGGGGACAGGGAGCCAATTTAAGTGGTTCTCTAGGAGTTCCCGGAAAATTAACACATGCCTGCCACCCAAAAGGTATAAGCTCATGATATTTTTATCAATCATTTCCCATGATCCCCTGAATTAGAGGCAGGGTGAGATGTTTGGTCAATGAAGAAGCGGCATCCAGAAAGACCTTTCCACTTTGCGGAGGAAGAGCCAGCCATAAGCCAGAGAAAAGCAGAAATCAGCCAGAAACTGGACCCTGGAGTCCTGACTCTCAGTTTGACATCCTCACCTCCTCACTTTTCAAGCCACATGTATGTACTATTTCTGCCCCCTTGTCCAGGGAGATAGTCATTTTTCTGCCCATCTCCTGACCCCTCCCTTTCTCCTCCCTCTTGGCATTTGGCAGACCCCAGCAGCTATTCAAGGAACTGGAAGCCAAGCACAACAGGTGTTCAGGAGCTCATCATGATCGGCCTGGACCCCAGGCCTCGCCCTGGCTTGGCCCGGCGGGCTGAGAGCTATGAGGCCAAATGTGAGCGCCGGCAGGAGACCCGTGAAAGTCGCCGATGCCGCCCCAACATGACCACTTGCCGCCAGGTGGGGAAGACACTGAGGACCCAGCAGAGGGAACAGCTGCAGAGAGCCCGACAACAGCAGTTCTTCAGGAGAAGGAACCTGGAAGTGGAGGAGAAAGACAAAACACACAGCTCCCGGAGCCAGGAGCACGGTCTCTCCAGGAGGACAGGCCAGGCCACTGACCTTCTCAAGAAGCCCTTGTCTTTGGCCAACAAGATCTCTTCCCCCAGACAGCAGGTGGGCCATGTCGAGGGACACACTGCTCTGCTGGGGAATGGGTGGGCTCAAGGTCACTGAAAAGTGATTTAAGTTGAATCGCTGCTTCCTCAGGCCTATAGTAAAGACTCCTTTAGCCACTTATTCATTCAGAAATTTTTGTTGTGTTTTCTGCTTGTCTGTATAGCTCCTTTTTGTTTTGCGGTTGCCTTATAGGAGAGAAAAATAAGTTTAACGACAACCCCATAGCTAATGCCTAGTATCAGTTCAAATTTGATATGTAGTCAGTCTACCTATCTTCTACAGCATTTCTTCATTCATCATTCAATGAGTATTTATTGAATGATTATTATATTCCAGTGCAGGTGCCAATCTTCTCAATGCCCCTCTGCAAACACAAACACACAGAGAGACACTCCTGTCCTCTATTGTTCCATGACCTGTTCCACCCACCCGCCTTCTTTCTCTTACTTTTTCTTCTTTCTCTTACTCTTTCTCTTACATCCCTTACTAAATCCACTCAGCCAAGCCTGATCTAGGCCAGGAAGCCTTCCCTAGCTTCCCAGACTACCTCTGCTCTTTTTGGTCCTTATGAGGTGACTAATCCTCGATGACTAAGTAACCATTAGAGAGCCCATTAGTCCGACCTGGGAGGAAGCTGTGTTGGCAAAAGAAACAGGGTACATCAAAGCGACCTCGGCCAGCAAACTGTCTGTGTCTTCCCGTCCGTGTCGTGAGCACGCTGCCAGCAGGAATGGGTCCACTGTATTCCCTGGAAATGCCTGGCCCTGTGCCCCGCCCAGAGTAGGTATTTCATCATGGCCTCTGAACTGGTGGATCTGTTGTCTGAAATAGGAGCTGCTGCTCAGAAAATGATCCTTGAACCCAATTATTTAAAAAAAAAAAACTGTGTACTTTCTAAGGCAAGAAGGTTTCTGAATACTTTTGTTGAAAAAAATTTAAGGAGAAGAAAATCGGGAAACACAATTAACTAAAATATTCCACTGGGTTTATCAGTTATCTAAAGTTTTATTGAGATTGAGTCAGTCTGCATGATTAAATACCACAGGCATTTCTTAGCCTTTGAGTGTTATTTACAAGCATAGAGTTTTGAAGTGTAAGAAGAAAATACAAGAGCAGACTAAATTGTGACAAGTACTGTTACATCCCTCCCTACAAGTCCCCAGTTTACCTTCTCTTCACATTCACCTCAGTGATATCCCAGCTATTACTAAGAGGAAGGAAGCCACTCTAGAATATGGAAGGGACCCGAGAGTTCATTTACCCCCAACTCATTACTCGGACAGGAGACCAAGACCTGGAAAAGGGCGGCTCTGGTCACAGATGCCTTTGCTCCCCACTCACATTAGTTCTCCTTCCACATCGTTATGCTGGCCGTGTAAGTGACTGAGACTAAACAAGGTAGATGGGGACTCCAGAGAGTGTAACTGGAGACAAGCCCAGCACCTTATTTCCTGGCCTGAGCAGGACCACTCCTGCCAGCCAAGACAAGGAAGGGCAAGAGCAGATAACATTATAGCTTTGAAGGCTTGAAGGGGTTACTTTGGTTTTCAGGGCCTGAAATTTGGTCACTGGTTTATCTTTGTGCAATCAGCCGGAGAATCCTGTTCTAGTGGCTCTAGGCTTCCAGCATCGCCCACTTGCTTTCCAGGTGTCAGGGACCAGCTCCGAGGTCTTTCCAAACCAGCATCATCCTCTCCCAGGCGTCTGGAGGGATCTAGCAGATCACCTCCCCTCCCAGGCTGGGAGCCTTCCACCCCAGGATATTCCCACCAAGAAGCCACCCAAACACCACCGTGGTAAGAGCAGAACCTCCCTTCCTCGCTGAGGCCTGCAAAGAATCCTGCCACGTCAGCCCCAGCTAGATGGGAGAGTCCCTGCCCCTCCCCACTTGCCCCACTTCCCCCCCTGGTTCTGAATCACCTTATCCTGCATATCTCAGGCACTCAGACAAAGGTCAAAGAAGCACAGCCAACAATTAAGAATGATGCCAGTCAGCAAACCAAGTGAGTGCTTTTCATGTTCCTGATCTCAACTCCCTCACATCCCATCCATTCCCCTCTTCTAAGCTTTTATTTGAATACCCTCACCCAGTATGCAGAGAGGAAACATAATGACTTTCCATATCCACCTTAATTCTAAAAAAGGGAGATTTTCCCCACCCTATCAGCTTTTCAGAAGAGAATAGAGATGGAATCAACCCACTGCCCCCTGGCATGTTTCTTTGATCCATTGTCATTTTTGTCTTTATTTCTTCTCTTCCCAGTTATGGTGTTGCAGTTCTAGATAAGGTAAGAAAATCCTTACCTTGGAAGGGTTGAATCAGATGATATATAAGCTCCTCCAAACTCTGATATTCTGGAATTTCATGATAAACTCAGCTAGGATGGGAGGGTGGGGGTGGCAGCACCTTCTCCCCTGATGAGCGTAGACTTGAAGGTCTGGAGGGACTCTGTCTGAACCAAGAAAGAAAGTTTACTGTACACAAGTCACCCCGGCTCTGGCTCCATGTTCCAGGCCTCCAGGAGAACTGGAATCTTCTTGACTATCCTTTTCCTTTCTCTCTAGGAAATCATCCAGCTTTCTGAGTACCTCAAAGTAAGTTACATGTGAACTCTCCCCTCACTCTGTCATTCTGCTGCCCGCTCCTCCTCTAAGTTAATCTTACCCTCTTGCATTTTGTCCCCCAGGAGGCCCTACAAAGGGAGCTGGTTCTAAAACAGAAAATGGTGATTCTCCAAGACCTATTGTCCACCTTGGTTCGGGCCTCTGATAGTTCTTGGAAGGTAAGGGAAAATGAAACCTTTGTTTGAACAAAGCTCACAAGCATCTAAGTTTGCCCATCTCGTTCTTCTTCCCATACCCTCCCAGCAACAGAAGGTTGTTGTTTTTTTTTTCTCACTACTGAAGAAGCAGCAGGTAAGGAATGATCCCAAGACCTAGAAGTCAAATAGTAAAGACCTACAGGCCCCAGTGAATGAATGGGACAGCCCAGCTAAACCAACTGAGGTCAATGCTGGTACATACCCAGGGAAGACTCAGAACCAAAAGGGGCAAGAATCTCCAATTTTTAATGTTAGGATAAAAGCAGAAAGATCCTACCAAGTTAATATTACTAACTGTGGTAAATGTCCCATATCTGTGTATGGAATTCACACCAGTATGAACTCAAAGCCAGCATGCACCTACTACTCACCCCAGACATGAGTCAGAGTAGGAAAGAACCTTAGAGATCACCTCGTCTGATTTTCTCATTTGCCCATGAGGAAACTGAGTGTCAGAGAAGTCAAGTGACTTATCCAAAGTCACACTGCTGGTAAGAGGCAGAACTGGAACCAAAACTCAGACCCCCTGATTTTGGGCCATGTATTCAATAAATATTCATAGATCATGTACTCTGTACCAAGCACTGGAAATAATGAGGTTAATTAGAGTTCCTGCTTTTAGAGAGCTTGTGGTTTTGTTGGGGAGACGGTTGATGAAACAATGCAGAGACAGGACAAGTTAAAGAAATGTTTTCAGGATATAGTAGTATACAAGAGGGAATAAATAACTCCAGAGAAGAGGAGAACCAAGGAAATATGTATAGCTATACAAGTATTTTCTAGGCAGATGTGGAAGAAGAAACTATATTCTGAACGGGGGATATGGCACAGGCAGAGATGAAGAGACAAGATGGTCTAGTACAATGAGTGGCCAACTTTTTAATCTCAGGACCCCTTTATACTCTTTTTAAAAAGTTATTGAAATCCCTTCAATTTTTAATAGTTACCATATTAGAATTTATCACATTAGAAATTAAAATAGGAATCTTAATATATATATTAATTTTTAAAAACAGTAAATCTATTACATACTAACCTAAATTTCATATTTTCACAAAAAATAAATATACTTTTAAAAATTAGTGAGAGGAGTAACATTTCTTTAAAGTTTTTTAAATATATTTTATTGATTATGCTATCACCATTGTCCCAATTTTCCCCCCTTCGTCCCCCTTCACTCATTACCTCTTCCCTCTAGCAACACCCTCCACTTAGTTCATGTTCATGGGTCATGCATGTGAGTTTTTTGACTTCTCCATTTTTTTATCCTATTCTTAACATTCCCCTGTCTATTTTGTACCTAGCAATATTCTTCTTAATCCCTGCATCTTTTCTCCCATTTTCCCCTTTCCCCTTCCAGCTGATTGCCCTCCAATGATCTCTATACCTGTGATCCTGTTTCTATTCTGGTTGTTAGCTTAGTTTGTTTTTTGTTTTGTTTTGTTTTGTTTTGGTTTGTTTAGATTCAGTTGTTGATAGTTGTGAATTTGTTGCCTTTTTAATGTTCATAGTTTTGATCTTTTTCTTAGATAAGTCCCTTTAACATTTCATACAATAATGGCTTGGCGATGATAAACTCCTCTTCCCTTGTGTTTTCTGTTTTTTTTTTTTTTTTTTTTTCTTTCATTTCTTTTTTTTCTTTTTTTTGTGCTTTAATCTTTTATCTTTTATTTTTGGCGCTTTAATTATGATGTGTCTTGGTGTGGTCCTCTTTGGGTCAAACTTGTTTGGGATTCTCTCTGCTTCCTGGACTTGTATGTCTATTACTTTTGCTAAATTAAGAAAGTTTTCTTTCATTATTTTTTAAATAAGTTTTTAATTTCTTGCCCTTGCTCTTCCCCTTCTCCTTCTGACATCTCTGTAATTCAGATGTTGGCTCTTTTGGAGATGTCCCAGAGTCTTCTTATACTACCCTCATTTTTTTGAATTCTTGTTTTCTCTTTCTGTTCTGGTTAAATGTTTATTTCATACTTGTGTTTGAAATCATTGATTTGAATCCTGGCTTCCTTCCCTTCACTGTTGGTTCCCTGTAGATCTTTCTTTATTTCACTCAGTGTAACCTTCATTCCTTCCTTTATGTTGTTGCCATACTCAGTGAGTTCTTTGAGCATCCTGATCACCAGCATTTTGAACTCTGCATCTGATAGGTTGGCTATCTCTGTTTCATTTAGTTCTTTTTCTGGGGCTTTGTTCTCTTCTTCCATTTGGATCATATTTCTTTTTTTTTAAGATTTTTTATTTATTTATCTTTAGAGGGGAAGGGAAGAAGAGAGGGAGAGAAGTATCAATGTATGGTTCCCTCTTGTACGTCCCCCACTGGGAACTGGCCTTCAACTCAGGCATGTGCCCTGACTGGGAATGGAATCGCAACCCTCTGGTTCGCAGGCCCGTGCTCAATCTACTGAGCTACACCAGCCAGGGCTGGATCATATTTCTTTGTCTCCTCAATTTGGCAGCCTCCCTGTGTTTGTTTCTGTGTATTAAGTAGAGCTGCTTTTACTCCCTATAAGAGACACCTGTGAATTGTGTGAAACAGAGATTTAGGTAACAACCAAGGTGGGGGCAACCTGCCCCACTGCTCTGTGGCTCAGTGTGGGGAGAGGGCTCAGGGAGGGGACTGTGCTGCTGCCTGGCTTCGGGGGGTTTGCCCGTCACTCGCCCTGTTTCCAGTCACTTTACCCACTCCACATGTGGGACTGGCGCCCTTCTGACTATTGCCCTGGTGCTGAATCACAGACTGGGTGGGTTTGCATATATTTTAAGACCATGCAGGCCTGTTAAGCAAAGTTTCCTGAAAATCCAGCAGTTTCTTCCACTCCCCTAACTCCTACTAGTTTTTACAGTCAGAAGTTATGGGTTTTCTCTTCCCAGTGCTGGAACCCTGAGCTCTGAGGTCTGACCTGCTGCTGGGATCGCACGCTCTCAGGGTAGCCCTCCTGACTTTTATCTACCACATATAGATGTGGGACCGCCCATGCCCCTTCTGCCACTGCCACCACCTTTCCACACCACACTGCATCTCCTCACCTCTCCACCCCATCTCCGAGTATACGATCCTTCTGCCCTTCTGGATGAATGTGGCTTCTTTAAATCTTTTGTCGTTGGACTGCCATACAGTTCCATTTGTGACAGTTCTCAGTGTTATTTGTTTTGAGATTTAGTTGTAATTCCTTTTTGTGGTTGCGTGAGGGGGCAAAATGTGTGTGCCTGTGCCTCCCTCTTGACCAGAAGACTCATATTGCTTTAAACTTTTGCAAACCTTTTTAATGTCTGGCTGAACAGAAGACAGCTACAGTCTCCTATTTGCTTCTGCATTCAATCTGTTGCAACATGTTGTTTTGGTTGAAGCATATGAAAAAACATCTGTCCTCAAACAGATCTGTAGTTAGAAAAGGGAAGACCTTCCTTGAAAGGATCTCAGGGATTCCCAGGGGTCCTCAGACCCCACATTGAAACCCCTAGACCAGTGTGTTTAGAGAGCTACAAGCAGTTTGACACCATCAGAGCATAAAGCACCAGGTGCAAAGAGAGAACACATACCCTCATGGGCCTCTGTGCACATCTGACCTACCACATAGATGACGTGTGCTTAGACAGAGAGAGGAAGTGAGAGGGCATGGAACCAAACCGAGCTGTTTGCAGTGATATAAAAAAGATTTCCTAAGCTCAGCCCTTTCTCTTTACATTCATCATTGTACCTGGGTTTAGATATCTATGTTTAGGACTCCTGATGAGTAAGGAAGACATTTTTATCAGAGTAGGGAGCCTGAGGCAGACATCTGTGCATGCCGGTGGTTTTCAGTGCTAAACTAAATTGAGGTCATCTCATCCATTTATTCAACAGACATGTGATCAGTTCCAACTATGTGCTGGGCCCTGTGCTACAGGGGAAAATGAGGAACAGGGTCTTTGCTGCCAAGAAGCTCACACTCCAGCAGGGAAGAGAGGGACATGTAATAAAGAACCCTAATCCAATGTGATAAAGCTATAACAGCAGTGTCTACAAAGTGACACAACAAAAAGAGAACAGAGCAATTATCCTGCCCCAGGTGGGGCCGGGTAGGTTCTAAAGGATGGGGACCATTTCAGCTGGGTCCTGAAGGATGAACAGGAGTTTACCAGTATACAAGTGAGAATGGTGATGAGGAATAAAAAGCAGAAAGATAAAGAAATCAGAATGATTGCAGGCCCACGTGTAACAAAGCATTGGATATAGCAGGGTGTGGCTGAAATGAAGAGATCATGACAGAGCACTTCAAGGATAAGACCAGAAATGACCTCAGAGAGGTCTCTAGAATTATGAGGCTTAAACTTTTACTGTTGAACATGTAATCTCAAGTTTAAATAATGTATAGACTGTGCTTTAGAAAGAAAACGCAGATCTCTCAGATCCATGAGTTGACTGCTATCCCTAGTTTGGGAAACACTACTATGGACATTAAATAGGGTAGCCATGGAATTACGCTTTATTCAGAAAGTCCTACAGCAGCTAGTCCATCCTTAGAAGATGCTCAATTAGAGTGATGAGATCTGTGTTTTAAAAGGTGAAGACCCTGGCTCCGGGTGGAGGTGGGGGCGGTGAATACTGAAAATATCTCTGGTAGGACTGAATCAGCGCTTGAGTGGCGGCCAGCTTGGTGGGAATGGGGGGCAGGAGAGACATTAAGAGACATTTTCGATGTAGACTCTGAGGGGCAGTTTCATTCCACACTCCAGCAGGCAGGTAGGAGTTCCCCTGGCTGTGGTTTTCTCCCTCCCTTCTTTCCATCCCACCCACCACTCACCCCCCCTTCCTTGTCCTCCCCACCGACCTCCAAGCTTCCTGTTTTTAAGAAAAATGGTCTCAGACTTTTCAGTTACTTTACCCCCCAAACAAGACCATTCAGCCTTTTATTCCTTCCATGGAAGCCTCAACTTCAATGAAAGGATAGCCCCAGTCTATGATATTGTGGTATTTGGGAAAAATAATTGGGAGGATGTGGCCAGAACAGGCATGCAGCCCAGTTCAAGCCTTTATTTCCCCCTACCACCCCAACCCTCTCCCCCCACCCTCCTGCCTCCCCCCACCTCCGAGATTTGAATATTCAACTTCAAATGCAGAGACGCTCACAGCAAGCCCTGTTAGAACTCCAAGGATCAGCTCCCTATGTTGCCTCCAACCCCCAGGTTGACTCTGGGCCTTTTGTACGCAACAGGCCCTAAAGCACCTCCAGAGTCCTAAACTGGGCACAATCTTCAGAGCAGAAACTGTTCAGGCAGGAAAGAAAAGCAAGCTCTCGGTGTTGGGCAATACAAAAACAGAAGGGGGCACAAGTGGGTTTTTAAGTTCCGCAAAGTAGAAATGAGATCTTGAGATGACAGTGCAGAAGAGGATTGGCTGCAAGTCCTAAGCCGCCTCTGCTAGAGCAGAGATGAGCTGGGAGCTAGCACTTCTGCGGTGAGGTGCTAGTGTTTCTGAAGAGCAGAGGCAGGGGAAAGCCAAGCAGAAGCAGGAGCTGAAGCCCTCAGACCAGCACCAGGTGTGTATGGCCTTCAACTTGCTCCCTCTTTCAAATCGGGGTAGTGCGCTCCCTGAGCCCTGGGCTCCAGAGGTGCGAATGCCCAATAAAAGTTCACAGTAGGCCTGTAAAAAGTGCTTCTCCCCACATACCGTACTACTAGGCTTCTGAGGGGTGAGCCGGGACTCAGACCAGGAAACTACATGACCCATTTGCAACAGCTTGGCTGCAACTGTACTGCCTGCCTTGTGAAGTCTGGGAAGGCAGAGCTGTAGACAAGAGTTTTTTTTAAACCCCAGTCTTGGGTGGCCCTTCTCCACTACAAGGGGCTATCGTGAATTGTACTGTATTACAAGATGAATGAAAAGTAATCTGGGGTGCTGCTAAAATACAAAAACAGAAGAGGTAAACTATTGAATTAAAACCATACTAAGGAAGGGAGAGGAACTACAAAAAAAGGGTAGGACACTGGGGAAAATGTAGAAATGTTGCTGGTCTGTTTTCTTTTCAAACTACAGCAAGATAAACCTTAAACTCAGTGGGTTTGATTACAATCTGCATAGTAAGAGTTTAGGCAAGAGAAAATGCTCAGAGTCGGGAGATCTGAAGCTGGAGGTGGAATGAGTGGATTGCAGCTCATTGACAATGAACAGGCCAGTCCGGGGAATGCAGCCTTGTAACCAGTTATTCCAAAGCCCGGAACAGTGGAAGTCTTTGTCCATCCCTTTTTATCTGTCCCAAAGCCTGTGGTTATTGTATGTGCAAAATCCCTGACTCTCAGCCCTCACAGGAGACATTATGAAAAACATTAATAGCAGGAGATACTCTGAAAAATTATTTTGGGCAAAGCCTTTTCCTTTTGCAAGGCCCAGCTGAGTAATACAGGAAGCAGAAAGGGTGGGGGCACCTCCTGGCTCCCCTGGTTAGAAGAATCAGCCAAACAAGCGCAAAACAGGAGCTGTGAGATACCACTTCCTGCCTACCCCAGGTGTCCTGAAACTCACTGAGGGGGTCAGACCTCAAAACTGAGTCCCCTCCTCTGCCCCCAGGTTATTATACACCGGAAAGCCTTATGAGAGTTGGAAACTCGCCAGACAAGAGCCATGGTGCCTCAGGCCTGAGGAGAAATGTAATTTCTAGACCTCAGAAGTGTCCCAGAGGCCCTGGTTAGAAAAAATCAGGAAAGGATATGAAAGTCAGTTACTCCTAAAGAGATCCACAGCAGTCTCCTTGGGAAACCAGTTTTCCACAGCACCCTCCCCTTGCCCTGATTCCCTCACATACACAACCTTAAATGAAACTCAGGGTTAGAAGAACAAAACATCCACCTGGGGGAAAAGGGCAAGTCTACAGGTGGAGGAGAGAACAAAGCAGCAAGGAAGTTTTTAGCTACTCAGCTGAAATACTGAAAATCTAGTCTCACCCCTGAGATTGGCATCGCTCTCGCAATGTCCAAAATGCCTTTAGACAAACCTAGTTTGTGAATAAATAGAATGTGGCTTTCTGGAAAACCCTCTCACCACCCTCTTTCCCACCCCACTCCCCCTACCACACACACACACACACACACACACACACACCCCTCGCATTAATATCTCCTCCATTTCTTGCTTTCTTAAAGAATTTCTCATTTTGAGTCGAGGGATGGAGCAGGGAAGGGAGTATATTAGTTTGTTAGGGCTGCTATAACAAAGCACCAAAAATCGAGTGGCTTAACCAACAGAAATTTACTTTCTCACAATTCGGAAAGCTAGAATTCTGAGATTAAGATGCTGGCAGGATTGGTTTTTGTTTTGTTTTGTTTTGTTTTGTTTTTCCTAAGGCATCTCTCCTTGGTTTGGAGATGGCTGTTCTCCCTCTGGTGTCCTGATGTCCCAGTCTCCTCTTCTTATGAGAACACCAGTCATATTGGAATAGGGCCCATCCTAGTTACTTCGTCTTAACTTAATTACCTCTTTAGAGACCCTCTCTCCAAATGCAGTCACATTCTAAGGCCCTGGGGTTAGGATATCAAGATGTGAGTTGGGGGCAGAGGGACCAAAACTCAGCACATAACAGTGGGTAAGGGAGAGAATGTACATTCCCCCTGGGAGGGAAGACTCCTTTAATCTTATTGGCCTATACCTACAAGTAAAGGTCCATGTACAAGACTGAAAGAAGGTGAGGAGTGCAGAAGTGCCCAGACAGAGAGCAGAGAGAGGTAATGAAAGAAAAAAAGGACACCTTAGAAGCTTTCCTTCAAGTGGACCCCCAATAGTGATATGGAAGAAACCCTGGTTCTTCTCACCGACACAGTAAGCAATTACAGACCGGCAAACCTATTAGCAGGCACAAAAAGTTTATTAGTGCTAAGTTTTAATGGGAGAGCAAAAGCAGCGAGTGTGGCAAGAGTAGGAGTGGCAAAAGCAGGGTAGCCAGAAGCCAAGCGGCCAGCAACTGGGTGGCCAGAGCCTTGGTGGTCAGGGGCCTGGTGGCCAGAGTGGCCAGAGGCCCCCCATGTGTCAAGAGAGCCACAAGCCAAGAGAAGAGAGTGAGACTTTGTTCTGAGGACTTACATAATTGCCAGGATGAGGGTGAGGGAGTTACATTTGGATTGACGTGTAAAGATGGTACCAGTTTTCCATGGGGATATGACTGTCTAAACACAAGTGTGTGTGTGTGCGGGGGGGGGGGGGGTCTGTTAGCCTGAATCCCTATCTTGCTCCAGACTCTATTTGTTCATTTTGTATGTGACAGGAGGCAGGCAGTTAACCAAAGTTGATTGATTATGGGCTTTTCCTTTGGGGCACTGTAGTCCTCTTCCCCTTCTGCCTGCTAGGCTGTGGGATGAATGCATGGTCTCAAGGTTTTCCTTTTCCCAGCTAGTGGCTATGATACACACAGACTTTCAAGGGCTCCCCCCACCACACACTACTATAGTTTCACTTGTTTTTTAGGATGCCTGGCAGCCTCATCGAACTAGATTCAAGATTACTTGGTCAACCTGTGAGCTTTGCTTTTAGCCTCCTGTATTAAATTCTTTGTTAGATTGTGATGGTGAAGGACTTGCCTCCACTTCCCCTTTGGCCACTCATTCCTAGTTGCTACCTAAGTGTTAAAAGGTGTTGCCAGGCAACCAGGATGCTATAGTCGCTGGCCAGCAACAAGCAGAGCAGTCTCGGAGTTCTTCCTATGTTATCTCCTGCAACAGCAGGATACCCTGAGCCATTTAATAGAAGGCCTCAAAGGTACAAAGAGGTCTTTGGGGTTTAGGCTGACTCTTCCTTCCCCTGTTCCAGAAAAAGAGGAGAAGATCCTCTTCTACCCAAACATTCTTTGTCATCTTTTCTCCTCCCTATCTCTTGAAAGAGTTCAGTTCCCCAAACACTGAGCACAGACTATGTTCTAGGTGGTAGGTTGGGAATACAGAACAAAATTTTTCACACTATATTTTGGCCCAGACTCTATCTACTCAAGCTCTTTTGTTCCAGGGACAACTTAATGAAGACAAATTGAAGGGCAAACTGAGGTCCTTGGAAAACCAGCTGTATACCTGTACCCAGGTAAGCATTCTGGAGAACACTACCAGCCCAGGAATCTAGAATTAAAGGAGAATGCTTAAACCTCAATCTTACTCTCTAGAAATGCCACCTGATAGAGATAAAGGCACCCACTGCTACTCACGCAGTTCTGGCTTTGCCATTTTCACTTCAATCCCCAATTTACCATTTGCCCATGCTCTTCATCCATCCACCCCTCTCTTTCTCCCAGTGCCCTTCCCTTCACACCCTGGGAAGGAACCTCAGCACCAAGCTCTTTTCTGGCTCCAGGGCAACCTTAAGAATACCTGGAACTGTAGGAGGAGCCTTTGGTAAAGACTCGCACCATGCAGGCAGACCTGCACAGGTCCCAATCTTTGAACAGATGAGTTGAATGTTCTGATGAAGTTTTGCAAAGTAATTTTCATTCAATGGGCAAAGTTTCTCTCTTAGCAACCTGTTGGAGAAAGTAAGACTGTGACCTTGTCTTCCCCGTGACATTATTATCCAGCTTCAGTAATCTCTTGATTGGCCTTACCTTGGATTACAAGAGATAGAAAGAAATTGGCTTGCACTTGAGAAGTGATGTATTTCTAATAGTTGAGGACACGTCAAGGAAGAGAATGAGGTGAAACGGGAAGTCTGCTCCCATCTGGAGTTAGGTAAATAAAGCCACAGTTTGAATCTTGCAGGAGAAAGGTTTGTAGTCTGTAGATTTGCTGATCCACAACTTCTATTTTTTTTCAGTATGACCTCCTTTGTCAGACTCTTATGAATTATATGATGCCAACCAAGCACCTAAGAGACTGATATATAATCCAGAATGCCAATGAATTAATTTTCAGTAGAGGATGAAGCTGGCCAGTGACCAGCAGAGTTAAGTTCAGTAACTGGGACATGCCTATGTATGACTTCAACCAATAATTCCTGGATATGCTTTCCAATAAAAATTCCAAGAACATAAGACTCATTCACATTTAATCTAAATTTTCAGATGATTACAAACCTAAATGGGAATGATTTCATATTGATCTCTAAATCTGCATTATCTAGGTTACTTCTAACCTAGTGGGTAATCCAGAATCGACAGTAAAAGCTGCCTGTGCTCCCCCAAATCACAGGACATAAAGATGAAAAGCATGGGGACAGCAAGACCCCCAGTGAATTTACAAAATTGCTCTTTTGTCTTTTTCTTGACCCTGAACCCAGGAGGAATTTTAAAATGCAAATATATTTATTTAAAAATATTATTTACTGGGGATCCCTGAAGCTACAAAGATTATTAACTAATTAATTAATTAATTTTTAAAATTTAAAGCATGCTCCCTGCCTCTGCCCTGAGGAGTTCACAGTCTCATAAGAGAGACAGATAGAATGGAAAGCTAGAGACATACAGGGGGTACTATGGGAACACTAAGAAAAGCCACCTAGTCCATATTTAGCTGGGGGTAGGGATAGCTAATTAAGATTTATCAGAACTTACATGATTCTTAGGCTGAATCTTGAGCATGAGTAGAAGTTAACCAGATGAAAAGGGTGAGTAAGGATGCCCTGGGAGGCAGGAGCCGCTCTAGGCACAAAGACAGAGTACAGTGCTTAGGGAATTTGCAAGCAGTTCAGCTTGGGTGAAACAAGCATAGAATGGCAGTCTGGGCTTATAAGTAGAAGCCATACTAAGAAATTTGGGCCTGATCCTTAGGACACTGAGAATCTAGCAGGATTTAAGCAGGTTGTGATATGATCAGATCTGTATTTTAGGAAAAACCCTGTAGCTGCAGGACTAAAGGAGTTCGAAGAGGGGCAAGTCTTACAGATAGGGAGATCATTGCATTGCATCAATCCATATAATATTATTACTAGAGTCTGAACTAAGAAGTGGCAATAGGGATAGAGAGGAAATAGGTGTGAGCTGTAAAGGAGGTCGATTTGACAACTGAATACTGGGAGAAAGTAAGAAAGAAACCGAGGTGACTCCCTGGTTTAGGACTTGGGAGGCTGGGTGGGTGATGATGCTTGTCACTGCGACAGGGGAAGTCCAAGAGAAAGAAGCACCACATGATCGTGGTTCGATTCCCAGTCAGGGCACATGCTCGGGTTGCAGGCCGGTTCCCTGCAGGCCAGTTCCCAGCAGGGGACGCACAAAAGGCAACCATACATTGATGTTTCTCTCCCTCTCTCCTTCCCCCCTTCCCCTCTAAAGATAAATAAATAAAATCTTTAAAAAAAAAAAAAGAGAAAGAAGCAGATTTAGAAAGATGACTTGGCATTGGAAATGTTGGATTTCGAGTGCCTGTGGAAGGCCAGGGGGAAATGCCCAGCAATGCCAAGGGCCCTGTTTATTAACTCCACTCACCCTTCACAGCACCCGAGAGACTTCGCTGCCCACCTCTAGCCTAGAAGAAAAGTCCCATCAGATTACTGGTATCTCTGCCCCGTGGGCAAGGACCAAATTCTTTTCATTTCTGTAACCCAGCTCAGGTTTTGGCACACAGAAGCTTAATGTGTATTTGTTGAATTGCATCAAATTTACAGAATTGTTCCCCTTGGGGAATGAAAAAGGTACTAATGGAGATGGAAGACCAGAAAAACAGCTACGAGCAGAAAGCCAAGGAGTCGCTGCAGAAAGTGCTGGAGGAGAAAATGAGCGCAGAGCAGCAGCTGCAGAGCACACAGGTTTGGGGATCTGCATGGTGTTGGCACTGGGCACACCAGGGCACCTCTGGGAGCCAGCTGCGCAACCCCAGGTACCACCCTCTCCCAGGTACCACCCTCTCCCTTATCTCCCTCAGAGGTCCCTGGCTCTGGCTGAGCAGAAGTGTGAAGAGTGGAGGAGCCAGTACGAGGCTCTGAAGGAAGATTGGAGGACCCTGGGGGCCCAGCACAGAGAGCTGGAGAGCCAGTTCCATGTGCTCCAGTCCAAACTGCAGGTACGGGGCCCTGGGGGTGAGGTGGTGGGGAGAGAGGGCAGGATTCAGGGGAAGAAGGGTTGGTGACAGCAATGATGGAGAGAAGCTGTCCCCTGGGCAACCTTTGGTGTCCTCAAAGGCAACTGAGACCATCTGGCTTTCAGTTCCTCACTGCCCGCTTTGTACCAGTCTCACTGTTTTGGCTCTGAAATCTAATTTGCAGTGTAGCAAGGACATCTGCCCTGCTGATGCAAATGAACTCAGAGTTCACTGGAATGACACAGTCCAGATGCAAAGGGCTGAAATATTCATCAGCCTACCGTCATATCCCAACTCACACTCTGCACCCCATCCCAGCAGAGCATTCAGTTCAGAAATGCTCACTATGGGCAGAGAACAAATGTCATTAATTTACTTATAGATAGAGTATTAACTAACACATCTTGCCATGTGCTTGGCATTCTCAATGGTTCCTCATTTCTTGTCTGCATTTACCTTGGAAAAGTTAACCAGCCTCCTAAGCCTCCGTCTCCTCATCTCTAAAATTAGAATAGCTGTATCAAAGATTGCTATGAGGGTTAAGTGATGTGATCCATGCAAACCACTAAGCGCAGTGCCTGGTACATAGAAGCCCTCAAGGAATATTAGCCATTATCTTTTCTTACTTGGTTTGGAATTTTGGAGGACACACCTAATTCTACTGAAGTAGCATCTGACCACAGTTGATTTGATAAGAGGGTATCTTATCAAAGGAACCGCCCGAGCTGGCCCCGGCATTGCATCCATATCTCAATCACCTAGGAGGCAACTCTCATAATGATCTTTTTCTTTTTAACCTTAATTCTTTGTGAAAATGACACCACCCCAAAAAATGATAGTGCTACAATGAAAAGTAAAGTGAAGACATCTAGAAAAACAATTTGGTATTCTTTAATTTGGGCATTTACCCAAATGAGTCCCTTGTGAATATCAAAAAAAAAAAATCTAATGCATTGTTTGTACTAAGAGGAATAGAGCAAAGCAAAGGGAAATTAAAATTTAAAAAACTTTCCTGTTTTTTTTTATTTCCCTAACATTCCTACCTCTAAAGTTTTACAATGTTCTACAGTTTTTCTCTTCTATGGGATCTGCCCCCACCCTCTACCCTAGCACTGACCTGCTTCTGTGCTGGCCCCGCTTGCTCCCTGCAGGGGGCGGACAGTAGAGACTTTCAGATGAACCAGGCTCTGCGACTGCTGGAGAACGAGCACCAGGAACTGCAGGCCAAGATTGAGCGCCTACAGGGGGACAGAGACCTGTGCAGCTCGGACAGCCAGCTCCTACAAGGTACCCTTCTCCTCGGGGGCCTCTGGCTGAGTGAGCCCAGAGAAAGAAACCAGGTGGAAAGGCTTCATTCAGTCTTTCATCTGTTTAGTTGGCTTTAAGATTTCATTTTACCTTAAGGGAAAGGCAGGGCTATTTTAATCATCCAAGACTGAAAATTAATTTTGCAGCACTAGAGAATCTTGTAGCATCAGCTCTCTTTTCCAGCCCATCCCTCTGGGCCAGATCACAGCTGCTCCCACATCAGTCACATGCCAAGGCCACATTCCTAATTAGAAAGGTCAGTTGAAAGGTTTCTGTCACAGCTTGTGCAGTTAGCTGAGAGAGGACCAAATTGGGTGCAAATACAACACCTAATCCAATCCCACTTGTTAATTCAGTGACACCCAGGGTACTTTGGTCCTGGTTTACCACTGCAGAACTGGGAAGAGCGGAAGAGCAGCTTCCTCCTGACATGTATCAGAGGCCATGGACCAGGCAGTACCCATTACAAATTCCCATCCTCAGGTGTCAAGTTCATTAATCTTGGGTTCTTCTACTTTGGTTTGCACTATTTCATTTGTAGATCAACTAAAGAGGTCAGAGGAGGAGAAACGCGCCCTGGTGACCAAAGTTCAGCAGTTGCAGAGTAAGTTCCCTCCCCAGGTTCTAAAAGTAGCGCAGGTGGCTTCGGGGTGTTTCTGGGGCTTCTGCCCCAGAGAAGGCGCCCGGAGGAGGGGCTGGGGGCCCGGTCTCTGGCATCTCCTCTACTTCTGTGCACCTTCAGGTCCTCTTCTTACGAACTGAGGTCACTTACATGGCTCTTCACAAGTCGTGTATTAACCTGTCCTTCTTTCTTCCTTTTCTACTTCTCTCCTTCCATACCAATGACCACCACCTGCATCTCCCCAGAAGTGCAGATTTTTAAAGTGTGAAGTTTTCCAAGGGAGTTCTTATTTTGTATATCATTACAAAAATGAGTATGTTGCATCGAGCTTTGTCACTAGGATTGGTTCAGAAATAAGCTCCCACTACAGACGCCTCAGTCCACTTCAAAAGTGGGGCCAAAGGGGAAAGGGGGCCTTTCATAAGTCGACAATTTTTGGATTTTATTTATTGGTAAAGAGAAGGGAAGGGAGAAAGAGAGGGAGACCAACATGGATGTGAGAAACACTGACCAACTGCCTCCCATATGTGCCTCAACTGACAATCGATCCCACAACCTGGGTGTGTGCCCCGAATGGGAATCAAACCCACAACCTTTTGGTGCATGGGACAATGCTCCAACCCACTGAGCCACCTGGACAGGGCAAAAAAAAAAAAAGTAGACAATTTTTTGAGAAGCTTGAGAACCTGATTAAATAAATAGCTCTGTTGGTTGCCCACCACCTTACCCTCTGAGACTGGATGAGAAGTTTCATGCACACAGCAAGGACTATTAAAATAGCAAGGCAAACACACGGAAAATGGAGAAAAACCACCAGCAGAAGCTGTGCTCCTGCAGCCCAGGCGCTGGGTGGTCAAGAAGTCACTGGAAAATCATGCCTTTCCTTACCCAATACATGTTTAATGAGCCCCTCCCAAGGGCCGGGCGCTCCAGCTGTACAGAGGATACAGCGTCAAACATAACTGATCCTTCCCTCGTGAAGCTTACATTGTAAGCTCTACAGTGAAGTATGGAGTTTTTATGAGGAAATAAATGCATGTCAGGTAGTGTAAATACTATGGAGGAAAATAAAGCAGATTACAGGGAAGTATTTGCTGTTTTATACAGGGCCATCAGGGAAAGCCTTTCCTCTAGGATAACATTTAAGAAAGACTTAAAGACATAGCAGGAAGAGATGTAAGGATGGTGTATTCATAACACAGCACCACAGACTGGGTGACTTAAAGACGTTTATTTTCTCACAGCTCTGCAGGCTAGAAAACCAAAATCAAGGTGTCAGCGAGCTTGGTTCCTCCTGAGGTTTTGAAGGAAGCATCTGTTGCACGTTACTTTCCTTGGCTTGCAGATGGCCGTCTTCTCTGTGTGTCTCTTCACACACCTCCCGTCTATGCATGTCTGTGTCCAAAGGCCTTTTCTTACGAGGATGTGTCACATTCGATCAGGGGGTCACCTTAATGTCCCGTTTTAACCTGATTACCTCTGTAAAATACAGGTCTCCAAAAAGGTCACATTCTGAATACTGGGAGTTAGGACTTCAACATACGAATTGGGGGGTAACCCCATTCAACCGGGAAGAGATGGGAACATCTTTAATAATTAAGATTCTGAGCAAAGTTCTGGAAACACACCCTTTGCAGTAAATATGCCAGCACAGACAGGCTTCTTGCGTTTTCCAACAGGTCTACTGCAGAGCCAATCCGTACAGCTCCAAGGACAGGAGAAACTCTTAACAAAGAAAGGTCAGCAAATTTACTTCCACAAATTCTAAGACACTGCTCTTTCCTTGCCTGCCTAGAGGCATGGGAATGGGCTACATGACTTCTTGGAGTTGCGTCCTGTTCTGGGAGTCTGTTAGGTCAGGGAGCTGGGGAAGTTTCTTAAGGACTAATCATGGGCTCTGAGAGCAACTAGTTAGCCTCCTATTGTGAGAGGTACGTAAACTGTGATAAAGGATTTCTACTCCCCCTGAAAACAGTTGTCTGTGTTGAACATTTCAATAAATTGATTTTGAACTCAGGATTTCATGTCAATTTTTACACTTGCTTCCCAAGTCACATCCAACTTCCCAAGTCTAAACCAGGTTGCATGCAACAGCTACCTCACTCTCAGCCCTGAAGTCTGCTGTCTTAGCTTCGTGAGAAGAACTCGTCATGTGTATGGAGGGGCAGAAGCTCCTCACCTGTCCACGCAGCCTTTTGTTTTCCCATCACAATCACTGGGTAACACATAAGGCAGAAATTATGCCCACATAGCAAGGAAAGTCTATGGTCATACAAATTAAAGACACTGCTAAGACAAAGATTCAGAATTTCTAACTTTTAGTCCAGTGCGCTTTTCACAAGTCTAAAACTATGAGGTGGCTGAAATGCCACCTTTAACCACATGAAGATGAATTCTAGGGTATGACTGCTTTCTCATGACTGGAGTGAAGAACGAAGGGAAAGGGAGTTGAGGCATCCAGCAAACCTACCGGACGAACTAAAAAGGATGTGGCCAATAACCAAAAAAATTGGATTAATAAATGTACTCTAATAAAAGTATCTGGCATTAGACAGGACTGGTACAAAGAAAAGATGCCAACCTTGCCCTCCGTGGGGCTCAAATTCCAGCTCTGTCCAGGCTGAGCAGGGGCTCCCAGTGGGAGTTCTTTAAAAAGTCAGAGAATTCTGTTCTATGAATCATAACCAAAGACGGACCCTCCCCTCTTCCCTTCCCTCCCTTTCCCTCCTTGGGGTTCTCACAGTGACAGGGCCCTTCCTCAGAGGTGTGGGCCTCACCGTCACTGAGAATGTGGCTGCTTTTTTAGATCAGGCTTTGTCTGAGTGGAGTCCAAAGCCTTCCCATAACGAAGTGGAACCTGAGGGTACAGGGAAGGAGAAAGACTGGGATTTCAGAGACCAGCTGCAAAAGACGACTTTGCAGCTCCAGGCCAAGGAAAAGGAGGTGAGACATGACCTCAGTCAGTGAGGGGCTCAGCCTACAGTGGTAGGGAAGCGGCTGTTGGGAGGCGGCTGGAGAGCAGGGATTTCAACAGCTGCCTTGTAACTGGACGCCTGCGGGTATTCACTTGCCTGTAAAAAATGTCTTTGCTTTAGGGTTAACTTATCAATCTTTTCCTTCCCTCATTTACACCAATCCTTATTCACTTTATTAGTTACCTTGTATAAAGTCAACCTAAATGCAAATATATTTAATATACACTAACTTTTCAAACTTCACCTTTACACTATGTTAAAACTTTACAGTCTTTTAAGTAACAAAACTCTTCACTCTTCCCATCTACAAACTCACAGACACATATCCTTGGCCACTGGCAGAGAGACTTGTACAATGATCACTTTCAGGTCTTCCGTACTGTAGGAACTTCATTTTTGGTGTCCCCATTTACAAAGCACGTGCACACTGTCACATGAACACATGAAAGCACTTACTTCTTCTGTAATACGCATTATAATCAATCATGTAAATGAACACATTCTGAACAAACTACGTGAGACACTCAGAAGGCAAAGTAAAATCTCTGACAAAGGCTGGGGCGGGAGGAAGGTGGTACAAATTCCAAACGAATGAAGGAGTAACTTACATGGGGCCCTCTCCCCTGCCTGGTGATGACCTTGGTGGTATTTTCCCCCTCAGTGCAAGGAACTGCATTCAGAGTTAGACAACCTCAGTGACGAGTACCTCTCCTGCCTGCGTAAGCTCCAGCACTGTCGAGAAGAGCTGAACCAGAGCCAGAAGCTGCCTCCCAGAGTAAGAGCCTCGATCTTCCCATATAGCACTAGACGATGGGGGGACTATTCCTCCTTTAGCCCAATCTTGCAGATAAAATTTATCAGCCCGTGCCAACATCTAACCAGCCTGTCCCATTCAGCTTTGTTTATACTGAGAGCGTTGCAACCATGGAAAGAAACACTGGCGTATGCATCCAAACTTAGTTGTCACAGAATTCTTAAACCTAAAGGGAAAGACTTACTATTAGCTGAAGTAGGAAATGGTGTTTTTTAGCCTTTTCTATGTAGTAGTGGCAAGGACAGAATGAGAGAGAAAAAGTACCAAGAAATATGAACAGAGAATAATTTCATTTTGCTATTTTCTACCTTTGAATGGTCATATCAGTATTTAAGTATCTAGGCCCTGCTGACTGTGGTTCCCTGGGCCAATGATCTTGGCTTATGGGCCAGCGGCCACCAGTAAAGTGGTTCTATTTCAAGAGAGGTGACAAAGTGACAGAGTGATGTAAAAACCTTTCCCTCCTCCACCATCCAAGACCTTCCACTGAGCCAGAATGGGAAAGAGGAAGATTATTTTTGCCTCTTTCTTCTCCAACCAACCTGTGGCTTTTCTCTTCTCCCTCCTCAGAGGCAGTGCGGTCGATGGCTATTGCTGCTGATGGCGGTGACTGCTATAGCACTCGCGGTGCTCCTGGCCCACAAGGACAGCCTGAAGACATGAAAAACTTCCTCAGGTGAAAATCCAAAGAAACTCGATCAAAAACTCAGAAGGTTCAGTTACCTTACAGTGTGGGTTTTCCCAATGCCACTGTGATTTCTGACTTTATTTTTTTAACCTACTGTAAAATAAACCAATAAACTTTGCCTGACAGTCTCTTTCCCTAGTATGTTAATTCCTGAATGACCTATCACGTCACAAATATAAGGCACTGAGCATCCTGGTCTACTGTTCTTAGCCCAATTCAGTTGGAGGTAGATAAATACGCAGTGAAGCCCAGTCCTGCTACTTTCTGGTGACCACCACCCACATACAAGGTAGGCGTATTTACAACCCTATCGTACCACACACATGGTATACAAGGATACGCTACTCATCCTCCACCTCCCTTTTTATTCTCCAGTCTCTTTCCTCCCACCTTCTATCCAGTGAAAAAGGAATAGCCATCTCAGCTAAGCCGAGGACTCCTTACTATAGAAATGGCAAGTACGTACTACCAATGCTGCCGCCGCCACCACCTGCCCGCGTGCCCCTCACAGACGTGGCCAACTGACAACAGCGTTCTTCCCTAGCGTTCTCAAGATGCTCAGATTTGGCACTTGAGATGATTGCTATTTGCAATCCCCGACTTAGAGCTGAACATTTACCGAGTACTTTCTCCACAGGAGACAGTCAGAGGGCCACAGCTGGCAGTGTGACTGTCTCAGAAGAGATGGTGAGATCAGCAAAGTCATTCTGAGTCCTACATCGACTTCTAAGGTCCTTTTCCCAAGTGTTTAGAATGTCCCTCAGGGCTGGGAACAAGCTCTCTGGGACACTAAAGGAATAGAGCAAGACTGGAGGTTGACCAAGCAGCCATGAGATCCGGACAGTGAACACCCGTAGTGGGATCAGGGCTAAGCAGTTGTCATCTCCCTGGTTCGGGTGAAAAGTATAGGGAACAGGATAGCCCAGGAGGATCCCAAACACAGTACAGAGATTCCAATCTGAGCAACGGAGCCTGCTGCAGGAAACTCCCAGAGATAGGTCCCTCTGCCGCCCCTGCAAATGGGTGATGATCTCAGCTACAAGGGACTTCAAGCCCTGAAGCTGGTCCAGGGAGCGAATAGAAGGGTGAGGTTGGGAGCTGGAAACATCCACAAAGGCTATAGTATCAAGGAGCACCTGCTCCAGGTGTCGACACACGTGCTCAGGTCTGACAATCAGGCTGTTTCCTCCAATCTCAAGAATGTGAAGTCCCTTGGTCAGGAAGCCCAGACCCTGCAGCTCCTCCAGATAGCGCTGGAGCTCTGATGCCCCAGCACCATTGCAATCATAGAGCAGAGCTGGCTTCAGTCCCCGGGCCACAGCTAATACTTCTCCAGCTAGGTGAAGGCAGATAGGTCGGGGTGGGCCCCGTCTCTTTCCCACGCCCAGGGTCTGCTGAGCAGCTGCCACCAGCAACTGAGGACTCGGTGTTGACATGGGATCTGGAAGCAACATCAAGCATGGCCTCCTTGACTAGCCACAGTTCCCTCTCCTGGGCCACGTCTCAAGAGCTCCAGATATCTGAAGGGCCTAAAAACAAAGCAGGACCAGGGAGTTATTAACGCCAGCCTGTGACAGACCAGGACACCTGCCAGCAGCCTTCCCCTGAGTCTTACAGCACTTTCTAAAGTTCATTTTGTCCCTCCCTCTGCTTTGAATGCTAACTCAGGCCAGATGAGACCAGGTCGGCAATGCTGTCTGATTACCATGGATGACTTAGTCTCTCTCAGTCCCAAATGCATGTGTCTGTAACGCCTTGGGGCTAGATTTATAGTCTCTTTGGCTTCTAGACTAAATGGTATCTTTGGTAAATTATTTCCTCTGAATCAAACCAGAAGGAGTTTGCGGCACAGAAGAGGCAAGACAGCCTCTGGCAAAATTCAGAGTATTTCACCTAAAACTGCCCTCTGAGACCGTTGTAGATTCAAGAGGCAAGAAGACGCAATTTCCCCTTCTCTTCTGGCCAGAGTAGTTCTGCGAATAGAGCTCTGATTAAAATCATACACCTTGAGACATAAAAGTAAATAAATGATCTATGTTAGAAATGTAGGAGAGTTGTATTGTAACATCTATTGGCTACACCACCCCCTTTTGGCCGACAACCACGGACCCTCAACAAACAGGCTCATTCCGATCCCCACACCCTTTTCCTGAGCAAATTATCGTGGTTTACTAATTCAGGCACAGGTCTCCCTCCCACACACATACATCCTCCCACTTCCGCTACCGGTTCGCGGGCTCAGGAACTTCTCCCGGTTCCTCCTCGCTGCCACACCAGCAGCAAAGCCAAGCACTCCGCCAACACACCGGATACCCTGCCCGCCCAGCCCACGGTGGGCGAAGTCCTCAATTGCGCATGCCCAATGAGACTCCTCCCTTCCCCCCCCCCCCCCCCCACCGTGACATCATAGCAAGCCTCGCAAGGCCTAGCAAGGCCGCCTGACTGTGAGTTGGCGCTGTGGGCGCCCACGGCCACCCCTTCCGACCAGTCAGAAGCCGCCCGATGAGTCTGCGTAGACACTGGTAGGGGCGGAAGTGGAGGATAGAAGGCGGGACCAGGCGAACTGGCGTCCCGCTGCTCCACCAGCCTGCCCCCCTCCCCCTCGGCTTTGGGGCAGCTGTCCCACTTGACTAGGAAATCAGAAGCGGGACACATGGCACAAAACACTGTGTCTGGAGAAATGCAATTGCCACTCTAAAGGAAATTTATCTCAAGCCCGGCGATAAGTGTTGCAGGATCTCTAAACCTATGGGTGGTGCTACCAAGTCCGGGGTTTTTGGTTTTTTAAAGAAGCTTGGCCTGCCCAAGTCCTAAATTTGAGAGGCTGGACTCTGAAAAGTGGGAGGGTAAGTGCTATCCTGGTCCAGATTTGTGATCTCTAGGCCGGCCGTGAACAAATGTATGCTAGGCATGCTTCTAGGAGCTGGAGGTATCACAGCAAACAAAACAGACAAACACCCACTTTCATGGATTCAAGTTCAATGAGTTCAGTCTGCTGAGTTCACGTGAGAAATGAAACACAGAGATGCAGAGGGTTTTAATCAAGTCTTTAAGAAGAAAAAGTGTTATTTCACGGAAGGGTTAACTACCAGATATGACCCATACAACAAAGAAAAAGAATTTGAGAAAACACGTAGCTGAGAGTATAGCCCAAATTGATCGATAACATAGGCAGGGTGGAGGTTAAGGGAGCTGCACGCACCTACACTGGATGTTTCACTCCTGGTTCTACGTTGGTAGTGTCTTCAGACAGTGAAGAGACAGCTGTGGAGTGAAGATGGAGCCGGCCTGGAAGGAGGACCTGCTTGTAGGGGTTCCTAGTCTGACACTGGACCTTAGCTCTTAGGGAGTCAGAAACAGGGACTAGAAACTAATTTTAGAATTTCTTCCTTCCCCATATTTATTTTACCATGGTGGTTACCAATAAATCCCTAAAATGAAAGACTTACTTAGTATGTTCATTTATTCTAACAAGTATTTGAAAACATACTATTATCAGACAATATGCTAAAGGCTGGCAGCAAAAATCCAAAACAAATATGCTCTTACCTTCAGCACATTGGTAGTCAAGCAAGACACAGATGCTGAGCAATTACAAGAGAATTGATTGCTCTGAAAAAGGCAGTTCAGGGTGCTATGGCAACACTAGCCAGGAACCCAATTATGTCCTGAAGGGACCAGCCCAGATCCAGCGCTTGCCGTCCCAGTTTTCCTACAGTGGTTCTTGATTTTGAGATAACCTTGGTGGTAGAGTGAAAAGGGAAGGAAAAGAAGGGCTGGTGCCACCATCTAATTCCCTTCCCAGTCTTCAGCAAGGTGAAGGCAAGGAAGTAGAAGACAAGGGTGGGTGTGTGGTTCAGCCATCAAAGGAGGTAGTAAACTGAATCTCCAAGACAGAAAGGACACCTGGTATCTGTCTGTCAGGCCCAGAGAAGAAAAAAAGGAGTCCAGTGCAGGGGGTCTTGCCTGCAGTCTCCCAGCATTCTGAAACGAATTTTTTTTAAAGTACAAACTGGCCCTGGCTGGTGTAGCTCGGTGGACTGAGTGCGGGCCTGCAAACCAAACTACCACGGTTTGATTCCTAGTCAAGGCACGTGCCTGGGTTGCAGGTTGGTTCCCACTGGGGGACGCACAAGAGGCAACCATGCATTGATATTTCTCTCCCTCTCTCCTTCCCTTCCCCTCTAGGGATGAATAAATAAAATGTTGAAAAAATAAATAAAAATAAAAAGTACAAACTGAACTTTAGTTAAGACCATATAAAACCATTCATCCATTCCTCTGATATGTTTATAAAGTTTTTATTACAGTCATATACTGAAAGTTTCATGCTTCTTGGCACCTCAGAACACTATTTTTAACTCTTGCGGCCAACTCGTTATCTGGGCCCCAATCCAGGTGTTTCTTTATGATTTTGAGCTATGCAGACACAGATAGAGGCAGCCAGACATCAATACCAAATCCCTCACTTCACCCACTCAACAAAATAACCAAAAAATAAAAAATAAATAGAAAGTTTCTATACCTTGCATATTTCCTAGTTTCTAGAACTTCTGCTCACAACTGGGCACCTCACCTTTACCCAGATTTTTCTGGGTCATACTTCAGTAACAGCAGATCCTTAGAGACCCTCAAACCAAGGCTTAAGCATTCTAAATAAATCCCACCGCCACCTGCAACTCAGTTGAGGCTATGCTTTTTGAAATAAAGCTACCCCAACTTTCCACCTAGCTCAACTCCCACAGCAAGTAGGAGGTAGCTTGGTTTAAGGGTAGCAGATCCTTAATGCTTTCTCAATATGGCCTGGCACCAATGGCCTTCAGTATTTAAGAGAATTGGGGCAGCTACCAGAGATTAGCATCTTGTTTTCCATTTAGGTCTTAAAGTTTAAAGCATGATTCCACCCTTTAAAAAAAAAAAGCTCTAGCTGGTGTGGTTCAGTTGGTTGGAACATCATCCTATACTGAAAGGTTGCAAAGGTTACAGGTTTGATTCCCATTCAGAGCACATACTTAGGTTGCAGGTTCAATCCCCAGTTGGGGCATCGAACACCAGAGGCAACCAATTAATGCCTCTCGCACCCTTCCTTCCTTTCTCCCTTCCTCTCTTAAAAAAAAAAAAAAAGTCCTCAAGCAAGGACAAAAAAAAGGCGAAAGGGTCAGGGACCAAGCAAAAGTTAATATATAAGACCAGTTTGTGGCACCTACAGATGTAAAGTTCTATACCTTAATTATTCACACCGAGCTACCTTCACTAGGGAGACAAGCAAGTTTGGGCTAGGTGAGCCTATCCCAGCAAAACAATGACCAGCCCTTTTTCACCTTCGCCTTACCACACTCAACACCAAATTATTCCCAAATGCAAATAATCCAAATGACAGGAGGACTAAAGTTCTCCAAACTAGGAGGATTTTCTCCAAACATCTGGTAGATCACCAGAGCCACCACCAGAATATCCTGTTCAGGACACAGACCACACAGGCATCTGCTGAGGGAAAGTTATTTTTAAACAGCAGGAGGGAGCCAAGATTGAGGGACAGACAAGTGAGGTCCTGTGGAAGCCCCCCTACTCTATAAAATCCCCGTCCCTTTTATACTTACAGAAGTTTTCCGAGTTGCCCAACTCATCCCCGATCTTCCTCAGAAAAGAAAAAGAGCGCTCTCTACCCTCTCTGAAGGCGTCACTGAGTCGCCCTCATCTATGCCCCACCCCCACCTCCACGCCCACACAGTGGGGATCCACATGGCCGCAAGGTAAATACTAGATAACCACCTCTTTGACAGAATCCTTGGGCCTTCTAAGTCAACACCTTCCCTTTAGAAGGTCAGTTTATGAGCATTTACTCCACAGGCCAGGTGACTTTCAGACTTTGGCACCTTTTCTATTTAGATATCAAGTTTGGTTCCTAAGCAACAATCCAGCTCCCCTCCCTCACTTCCAGGGAGCCAGGTTACTATACTAGCAGAACAGGTCAAACAGATCAATCCTGGACAAATCCGTGCTTGAGGGAACTTTAATGAAAGCAAGAAGAAAATGTGGGGCAAGAACAATGCAGAAGGGTTCTGTTCCAGGCGGTTTTATACAAGGAGAATGAAGTCATCAAGTCAGAGTTTTAAAGCATTATTTCGGGCACCGTTCCAACCCCTTCCCTTTACAGCAATGAATCTGAAGCCCACAGGTTAAATGACTTGGTTCAAAGTCGCACATGGGAAGCAAAGCTGTAACTAGAATGCTGGTGTCCAAAACCCCCAGGCCAATTCTCCTTCTACTAAATTATACTACCATGGGGATGTTTAAAAAAAAAAAAGAAAGAAAGGGAAAGTATGAAAGGTGATTTTTCCATAAATTAAATCAACTTGAAGAGCCAGACATATTTGGAGAATCAAAAACTACTCACATTGTTAGAAAGAAAAGGGGCTTTAAAAGCTGGTTAAATCTGAATAATAAAAAATATCTGTATGTACAATATTGTAAAAAAGGGAAGGAAGACTGCATCCATGGTTACTGAGCCGGCAGGGCGGGGGGCAGCTGCATGCTGGTGGTGGGCTGCATGGGCTGCCAGCTCTCCTGGGTTTGCAGGATTCGATACAGCTGCTTCAGCTGAGCAACGATGTTATCTTTGATGTCTGGAGTTGAGATCTGCAGGCGGACACTGCCACTGTCAAAGGATCGTGTGAAGTCACCAGAAAACATCTCGTAGATCATCCGAGCCACCACCGGAATAACCTGTTCAGGACACAGAGCACATGTATCTGCTGAGGGAAAGTTATTTTTAAACAGCAGGAGGGAGCCAAGATTGAGGGAAGGACAAGTGAGGCCTTGTGGAAGCCCCCTACTCTAGATACAGGATATGCCTTCATCTCTCTGAACCATCCTACCGAGGTTCACTCTAAAAGTTGATTCAAAGGAAGGTAAAAAACGTAGGTGTAGCATCCTATCACATACCTAAGCAAATAACTGCTCACTTAGCAAGACTCTTACTCAAATTTTCTCCATTGTTGCACAAATCCAGGGGCCAAACCCATGTGATCTTGCTTCTACTTCCTAGAATAAGGTTCAGTTCTTAAAAGCAATTCAAAGGTTTTTGTAAAAGAGCTGGAAAGGGTCATATCCTGTTAAATTTCAGGAAGACTCTAATGCCAGTAAGAGAACGAAAGATACAGTCTCCACTACATTCATCGCCCATTTTCAGGGCCCTGTATTCCGCTGCGTGGACCTACTGTACGATGTACAAAGCTGGACTCTTGCAACTCCATCTGACGGGACTGAAATCCGCAGGGGCTGATGGGTCCTTGCCCAGGGCTTTACCCTGGACTCTCCTCTGGACTCGCTCCAGAAAGAGCTTTGCTAAAAAGGTAAAGAGTTGTTGACATAGCCTTATCTCCTCACCTGGACCAAGATGAGTTTCCTGTCCAGGGGTTTCCCATCTGGCCATTCTTCCCCAAAGCACAGGTAGATCTCAAATGGCGGCTGCTTCTCTATCTGTCCTTTCTGATGGGCGATGAGCTCTGCAGAAGGTGGAAGAGTGAGTTTGGTGTCCTGGGTCATTCTTCGACCACTCAGTAAATACCATCTTTTTCTTTTTAAGATTTTATTTATTTATTTTAGAGAGGAGAAGGGAAGGAGAGAAACATCAATGTGTGGTTGCCTCTCACACACCCCCAGCCAGGGACCTGGCCTGAAACACAGACATGTGCCCTGACTGGGAATTGAACCAGTGACCTTTTGGTTCACAGGCTGTTGCTCAGTCCAATGAGCCACACCAGCCAGGGCAGAAACTATTTAATTTTATAACTTAAATTTAATAGCCACATATTGTGGCTAGTGGCTACTATATTAAGATAACATCAAAGATGGTATTTTGCCCTGGCTGGTGTGGCTCAGTGGATTGAGCACCGGCCTGTGAATCAAAAGGTCACTGGTTCAATTCCCAGTTAGGACACATGTCTGCATTTTGGGCCAGGTCCTTCGTGGGGGGGCAGGGGGTGAAAGGCAACCACACATTGATGTTTCTCTTCTCTCCCTCCCCTTTCTCCCTTCCCTCCCCTCTCTCTAAAAAAATAAATAAATAAAGTCTTTTAAAAAAGAAAAATTAAATAGTTTCTTAGTCACATTAGTCACATGTACATACTCAGTAGCCATGTGGCTACTGACTACCCTTACTAGACAACACAAATATAGAACATTTTCATTATTTCAGAGGACACCACTGAGTTAGACTTGGAGTTCAAACCCACTGTAAAATTCACAATTCAGTGCATTGTGTCTGCTTGGATTCACCACTCAGATATTTTTCAAAGGAGAGGAGTATATGTTTTGCTGATTATGATGAAGAGGGTCTCCTTCCAAAGTTAGGGGTAAGCTGGAAGCATCGGGAGCATAATGACAAGGCTGTTTCCCCCTCCTGCCATAGAAGGCACCAAAACCAACCAAAAAATGGCTTCTGAGTGCGTAGCATTGGAGCAGAACACCATTCTTAGTTGCCCAGGGCACTTTCATTTTTCAGAACCAAGGTGCTCTTCAACTTTGACCTGCTCCAGAAAAAAATGTTTGGCTAAAATCTCTACAGAGCCAGGAAAGGGGGAAGGGATGAAGGAAGACATATTTTCAGGGACCAGTTCCCACCATCAACTTTTTGAAAAAAGACTCACCACTAAGGAACGTTTCCAGACAAAACAGTTTGACCTTCTTTTGCCTCTCAATCAGGTTGGGAGCCACAAGCGACGGGGCACATGGTCCAGACCAGTACACCTTGCACTGACACAGCCTGATGGCATAAATGGCGTGACCGCTGACCTCCAGAATCAGTCCTCTGTCCATGACATCTAGAAGCTTGGTGGTGAACAGCTTCTGCTTCTCATTGGTGATATGCTCTGGACCTGGGAACTTGACCTGCTCCAGGCTGACAGGCCCAAAGAGCTCCTCCTGGTCAGGCATAGGACCCAGGTCCCCATAGAAGAGCCGGCAGCCCTGGGGGTTGCTCACGGTCAACGTCTGCCCATATTCCTTGCCACGGTACTGAAACTTGATGTCCAAGTCAGTCACTGCAAGGAGAGAGAGGACAGTGAGAATCCTGCTCTGCTGCTCTGCCTACTTATATCCCTAAGCCTCATGCGAGTCCATCAAGATCAAGCCACCTTTCAAGCAGCATTCAGGAAGGCCACTGCCATAGTTATCCTGCCTGCAGTAAAGGGAGACATCAACATAACCCTGGAATACTCACTCAAAAGGCTGTCTGGAAGCAAACTGTTCAAGGTCCATCTACACTGTCTTTGTTCGATCATCATACCCTAAAGGCTAGAGTTTCTCCAAGCAAAGTTCTGAGTCCTGCTCTCCTCATTTCATACAGAGCCTTTCATCAATAGGCATAGGAAGGAGCTAAAAACTAAGGAATCTGGCTTGTGTCATATTTTTGACTCATTGTTTAAAGAAGCCAGAGGAATAAGAAATACCAAGTCACCTTTTTGTTTCAACAGTATATCATTGAAAGGACACAGTTCACAGCAAACTAAATTTTCACTCAGCAAGTCTCCCTATGGTCTTAAGAAAGCTACTAGCTTCTTAGACAAAATTCTAGCACTCATATCCCCCTCCTCACCATATGTAGATTAAAAGGGATTTGGAGCATTAACAATGATTCTTTCTTCTTACTTTTTTTAATCCTCACCTGAGGATATGTTTTCATTGATTTTTTTTTTAATTTAAATATATATAGAGAGAAACATCAATAGGTTGCTTCCCATATGCACCTCGGCCAGGGATCAAACCCACAACATAGGTATGTGCTCTGACTGGGAATTGAACCCACAATCTTTGGTGCACAGGATGATGCTCCAACCATCTGAACCACTCCACCAGGAGGACAATGATTCTTCATTGAAATAAATTTATGCCTAAACCAGAAAAAGATTTCCTCTGGGCACTAACATCCCTGATCCAAAAACTTCCTTGATCATATCTATGGCCATTACCTTCCTATCCCACAACTGGCCTTCTCCCCAAATTCTCCAGCCACGCTCATAAACCCAGGTCTTCCACCCAGCTGAGAGGTGAGTAGCCTAGAGCTATAACCAATCAGAGCATCCCCATGGGCAATTTATAAGCTAATGTTTCTTTACTTCCTCCCTGGTGGCTCATCATCAGTTGGCCGGGAACCAGATACAGCAGGTACCAGAGGAAAAGATAGCTATTCCGAGATCGGCGCGTTCAGGGTGGTACGGCCGTAGACAAAGATAGCTATTCTATACAAGGCAAAGACAGGGGTGTAGAAGGCAGGGCAGGAAGGAACAATAATAGGAGCCGAAGACCTGTCAAGAAAGACCAGGGCTCACTTACTTGGAAGAGAGCTGATCCATAGCTCTGGAGAGCTATAGAAGGGCTGTATAGGTGCCTGGGGTACTTCCATCTCCAGAGGCTCAGTTTTTGGCCACACCGCTTCAGGACTGCAGTTGCCCACACTGCAGTTGCTAACACTACAGTTGCCCACACTGGCTGGTGCCATGGGAGAGCCTAGAACGAAACGACGTGGGTGAGCAGGCAGGGGCACCGCACATGCACAGCACCTGGCCTGAGGCTCTAAAATCTGACAAAGTCAACAGACAAGAGTCAAACACTGGACCGTGACTCGGTGTGGCAGCCCGTCATTGATTCCCACAACTAATACAATAAGAAACACAGTTCCTCTGCTCCGGGGGAATTTAGTCATATTAGTTCTCCCATAAACTCAGAGTTATGGAAACCCTGTTTGCTGCAGATTCACAGAGGGGTGAATTTTCTCTGGGGTGAACTGAGTACGAGCATGTATGAGAGGCCACCTGTTGTAGAATTTGAACCTTGCAATTAAACAGAACCTGGTTGTCGTACATAAAATGAACTCAACTGAATTAGTTTTTAGCTTTGACTAGTATTACTTTATAAAAAGTTCCACTAAAAACAAATACTTTTATACATGTAAAACATCTGGAAGGATACTCAAGGATTGGAAAGCTCTGTCTCCTCCCGGGAAGGAAGGTTCAGAGATAGAATGGAAGGAAAACCTTTCCACTGATGATCTTTTTGTACCATTACGACTTTTAAATTTTGTAGGAATATTATTTATTAAAAAGTAGCCAATTAAAGCTATTATTAAAAGAGGGTAAAAAAACCCATCTTATTCCCCAGCTATTGGCAACATCGTCTCCAAAGTCTGCCGGTGTCTCCTCCTAGCCTCACCTCTTAGGCATCTATTCTTCAACAACAATTCTTCTTCCTCTGCCCCAATAGCTCTGAAATCACAGAGGTTAATGTTTCTTCGACCCTTTGTGTGCAAGTCTGGTTAAACCCATGTAATCATTTTACTTTCTCTTTTTAATATATGTCCCACCTCTTCCTAAAAAGGATGCCAGGCAGCCCACAAGCATCTCATTGACCCATAGCAGCCAGATGGAACTAGACGAGCAGTGAAAAGCCGCTCAGCTGCATGCAGGTCAAGGAGCGTTTCAGTGGCCAGTTCCAGGGAGGATGCTGCAGAGGAACAGCTCGCCCTGTGGTCGGAACCCTCAGAACATGCAATGGGAGGCTCCGTGCCTGCTCTGTTATCCAATGACAGTCCAGCCTCTCAACTCATGTTTTCTGGGAAGCTGAATCTGAATCCACAAAGTCCACAAAAGCAAAGTCCCTTGCAAATAAATTCTGTCATCAGAGTCTAGCACTGAGAGCTGGAGAAACCACAAGTTCCCATCACACAGCCTTAGCAGAGTAGATTCTGTTATGGAAATGACGCAAAACTTACACTGATGGAAAGGGCAGAAGAGTTTGCCTACAATTCATGAAAATACCATCTGCAACTTGGTCTCAAGGAAACCAAAAAATGTATATGTTTATGTACTTACATGTGGGACTGGGAATGCATACAACTTTTAACTAGGCCAGCAGAGTTCCCTTGCCTATGGCCCCTACTTGCTAATGGCCCCTTGCCTATGGCCCCTACTAGCTGTGACCAGCAGCCTGGTCACTGCTCCCAATGTAGTGGTGGCTGAGGGGCCAACAGTAGCAAGGTCAAAGCCCTCCTCCTACCTCTGTACCAGCCATCCCCCTACTCACCATTGATGTTCAGGAAGGGAAAAGTGTCCTGGATGGGAACATGGTGCTGTGACTGATCCAGCTCATCTTCCTCATCATCTTCATCCACATCGTTATCCTTCTCATCCCAAGGAGCAGAGCCAGTAGATCCTACCAAGAAACAGACACACAAGCCCACAAGTTGCACTATTATCCCTGCAGCTGACCTAGTGCACAAGCTAGGGACAGATGGCACAGCGGGTCCTCTAGTGCATTGTGCACCCTCAGTGCCCCAACAAAAGGAGCGGGAGCTGAGGGTGGGTTAATCTCCGGTTCCAACTCTTCCCACAGAGCCCCGATGTAAGCTCTCTTCTCCTCCCCTATTCAGGAGCTACAAACCCTGCTGCCTTCTCTAGAAATCTCTTAATTTGTACTCTAACCCTCTTTCTACACATTAGCATCACTTTTAAGGACTTAAGGACAACCTTTCTCCTTTGTCCAACGTGAGGACAAACCCTTCCATCATGGCATGGCCACACTCCATTTATGGGAGGACAAATCAAATTTGTCTGGCTCTTAGCCAGTTCTTGTTAAGGACTGGGTAAATAGAAGGATCAGGTGGTATTCTCTTAGTAAAAGCATCCTAAAATTAAGTGATCACTCACCACACCATTTATAGAGAACTTAAGAGCTTCTACATGTTATGTTGATTGATTTTTATACCAGCCTTTGAAGTAAGCAGGAAAGATGAGCATCCACATGTTACAGTTGAAGAAACTGAGCTTCACTAGTTCAAATGCCTTGATTCAATGTCCCACAAGTAGTGAAGTGATAAGAACCAGGTTTAGAACTCAAACCTTCTAAGTTTTAATTCTTCCTTCTTCTACTACCTGGCCTCTCCTCTTAGCATTGAGTCCCAAGAGACGTTATTTTTCAGTAGGAATCTATACTCCCTCTACTTTCTCACCACCTTCTTTAAGCAATCAGACTACTATCTGTTCCCCTAAGTGAACAAGAAGATTTTGCTGAGTTTACATCTTCTGTACTTTGGGTACTTCCAGAAAAGGTTTTCTTAAGCCAGGCAATTTTCAAGTCGACTATCTCTTTAAGAGCCCGACCTAGAACTTGTCATACTGTCCACCTTCACCCTAGCAGCTAGGGCCTCACCTGGGTTAATGATCGAGCCCTGGGGCTGGGGTATGTCACACACTTGATATATCTTCACTGGGTTCATGGGCACCTCCTTGGTGCCATCATACATCAGGTTGAATTCCCTGCTCTTGTTGAGAGCACAGCGGAGCTGGGCCTTCCATTTAGCTGGGTCAGGGTCATCCACCCCTTCTTGGTACTTCCCTGTCTCCACAGCCCAGGCCTGAGGAACAGGAAATTGTGGTGAGTACCTACTGATGTCCAGAAATGCTGCAAAGTGCACTCACCCCCCCCCACACACACACACACACACACCTTTCCCTGACTGCCCCACCATTCCAACCCCCATTTACAGAGACTGTAGTGAAAAATATCACCCGCAGGACCAGGCGAGGCAGGGCCTAAGAGATATTAAGCCATATGCAAACACAGTCTTTTGAAAGGAGAAGCCTTATCTCGAGTGTTAGTACCAGCACCACCTGGCTACAGTGAAGGGTTGGAAATAAAGAAAAGTCTGGAAAAAATATTCACCAAAATGCTAATGGTAACTTCAAATAACAGGATTTCCAGTGATTTTTTTTTTTGGGGGGGAGAGATTTCTTGTTTTTGACATGAATTACTTATCTAATAATAAGGCAAAGGAAATGGCATACAATATGAAGAGTTTGGCTTTGCTGTTCCCTCCTCCTCCAGCCTTTAATTCAGTGCATAAATAATTGTAGAAATCAAGTGCCTTCAGGAGTAACAGGAGGACAGGAAGCACAATGGGGGGTCAGCCTGACTAAGCTAAAGGCCCACACCCCCTGCCTTTTCCGATCTCCTCAAATTCCCACCTCACTGGAAACACTCTGTTGGAAATACCAGTGGCTGGTGGCATGGGCCAAAACCACTTTGGCTCCTCCTCTCTGGTTCCTCCTTCCAGGTCCAACAGGCATTTACATTTCTGCTGGCAGGACAGCCACACTCCCCTCCTGCTAACATATTCTCAGATCTCTATGCTTTCTCCAGGAGGGTGACATGTTCTGAGGCAGAAAGGGGGATGTCCTTAGCAGGGTACTCAAGGTCAGGAAGCACATACCAACTTGTTGGAGCTACCAGGGCATACGCATCCCTTGCCCAGTCCCAACTCCCCACCTCGGCTCCTGACCAAAGACTTCTCCCTCAAGCTGAAATGCAATTTTTCTACCCCATCCTTTGAGATCTCTGGTTGGCCTCAGTCACTCCCTGCAGAGCCTCGTAATCATGTGGAAGTATATTCCAATACCCAATGTAAATCCTTCTCCAGTTCACGCTCACTTCTTACCATCTTCTCCAGACTTGGGGGCTCTTCCATTTGTTATGAAGTATAAAATGAAGAGATTTGACAGCCGTGCTGCCCCAGGTGGCTTAGCAGGCACCATTTCACCCAACCCCTACTGGAGATTTCAACTTCACTGGGCCCTAGTGCCTGAGAAGCACATCTCCAGTTGTGCCTCACGCTACCAAGCCTCACCACGTGTCCCCCGTTTATCTGATCCTCTGTGCCCACTCCCGCTCTGGCCCCACCCAACTGGCTTGGGCCGTGTTGACTTTGGCTTGGGTCTGCAAATTTCTGTGGCTCCCTAAATCCCTGCCCCTCCATGGAAAGCAGCCAGACCAACCCAGAACCACAGCCCCAACCTTCCCGCTCACAGCAGAGCATTCCCCCAGGCCTGGAGATGACATGGAGGACCCATGCTGATGCAGTGAAGGCAGCACTCGTCACATGGCCATCATCGTGATTTATTCTACAAACATCACTTGTTCAAGCCTATTCTGAGTCATGCTTCTAAGATTCTGGCCACTGTACTGGTCTCTATTTCACTTCCTAAAATGGAAATGATCCCTCCTTGGCTAGTGTGGCTCAGTGGATTGAGCAATGGCCTGCCAAAGGAAAGGTTGTTGGTTCAATTCCCAGTCAGGGCACATGCCTGGGTTGCGGGCCAGGTCCCCAGTTGGGGGCATGCAAGGGCCAACTTATCAATGTTTCTCATACATTGGCATTTTTCTCCCTTTGTTCCCCTTTCTCCAAAAATAAATAAATCTTTTTGAAAAATGGAAATGACCCCTGCACTTTCATGATAATTTATAAGTGCCCTCCATATATTCTTTTATTCAATTTTCACAACAACCCTGTGAGGTGAGCAAGACTGGGTTCATCCCCACTTTACTGCAGGGGAAACTGAAACCCAAAGAGACCACACATGTAACTGATGGCAGCAGGGTCTGAAGCCAGGCCTTCTTCCAATTCTTTGTCAGAGGCAAGGTCTGCGAGTGGGGGAACAGGTAGGCTGGGTTCGAATCATGGCTCCACAACTTATTGGCCGTGTGAAGTTACTTCGCCCTTCAGAGACTCAATTTCTGCATCTACAACATGTCCCTTACAGAGTTGTTGAGAATTAAACGAGCAAATGGATGCAGGGTATGGACCAGGTACCCACTTTAGAACTAGTACCCCATCCCATAATCCTGTCAAAGGTCCATCAGAGCTTTAGATCTGTGAAAGCAATTTTACTCTTCTCCTGACTTCCAAGGCTCTCCCCTAGCATTCTGCAAACAAATATACAGATTGAATAAGGCAGAGAAGCCCTGGCTGGTGTGGCTCAGTAGACTGAGCACCAGCCTGTGAACTAAAGGGTCACTGGTTCGATTCCTGATCAGGGCACATACCCGGGTTGTGAATCAGGACCCTAGTGGGGGTCTCGCAAGAGGCAACCACACACTGATATTTCTCTCCTTCTTTTTCTCCCTCCCTTCCCCTCTGTCTAAAAATAAATAAATAAAATCTTTAAAAATAGGAAAGGAAGAAGACAAAGCAGCTTCCGACCGCCACCTTTTCCTCAAGTCCCACGCACACAGATGGCTCTCCTGAGTGGGGCTTCCAGGAACCAGCCTCTTCCCCCATAGCCAGCCACCACCTTCAGACCAAGACCACGGCCAGTCAGCTGGGCAGGGCAGGCCCACCCCCCTCTCCCTACCAACTCAACCAGTTGGCACTGCCTTACAGATGTCTACCTATCTCTTCTATCTCACTGCCTAATTTTTGAACTAAGCACTCACTTACTTTCTAAGTAATCGCAGCCTAATAATTTTCTGTCCACCTCTTGACTCTATACCTGGCTTAACTGCATTGGGTGGAGCCACCTACGAGATGGCTGTCCTTTGAGATGTGAGCCCTCCTTTCCTGGTGCAATCTCAGCAAGAACCTGAAGCACCAATCTTAAGAGGCCCACGGTGGAGCCTGGGTTTCACTTGTGACATGCAGCTCATAGTCAGGAAAAAAAGGATGAACTTGCTTCCTGGTGACTTGGAGGTGCAGGAACAAAAGCTATTCATGAGATGGAAGCCTGGCCAGCACAGAGAAGGAGGTCCGGAGTTGAGATACAGGCCAACCCGCACTTCCCAAGTGACCGACCATGTCAAACCCCTTCTCACACCCAGCTTCCCGCCTGCTTCTTCTAAGTCCAGCTCTGGCTACACTTCAATTTTGGAAAATGCCAGTGGATTAAATCTTATTTTTGGTTAAGTGACATTACTCTTATAGCAGAGCTTTTTTTTTTTTTTGCTTTAATGTAGTTTTATTTATTTATTTAATTTGTTCATGATTTTTCATTATAGTTGATATACAATATATTAGTTTCAGGAGTACAACATAGTGATTAGACGTTTATATAATTTATGAAGTGATCACCTTGATAAATCTAGTACCCATGTAATGCTATACATAATTATTACAGTATTATTGACTAAATCCCCTTCGCTGATTTTTATTTTTAAAAATATTCGTATAATAAAAAGAAAATTAAATCCCCTTTAATTTTTTAATTGTTTTTATTTACTCAATATTTTAGAGAGAGAAAAAACATTGCTTTGCTGTTCCACTTATTTATGCATTCATCGGTTGATTCTTACATGTGCCCTCAGTGGGGACCGAACCCACAACCTTGGCATATCAGGACAACACTCTAACTGAACTATCTGGCCAGGGGAAATCACCATTAATTTTTAGGCAGAGGTATGGGTGGGGCAAAATATTTTAATATCGAAAGAAAAACTTGCAGAGGGCCCACTACACCCATCCTACAGACTACGCCAGGAGCCTGCTAACACTGAATAGTTCTGCCCCGTCTACAGAGCCCTTCCCAGGCTCACACGGCTTTCTCCATAGCAAGGGCCCTGGGTGCATGGAGAGGAACGGTCAATTGCTGACACTTGGGAGTTTTCGGAACCAGTCTCAGGAGTTTGGCCAACTGTACCTGGGACTGTTTGGAATGTGAGTTGAGTACCTTCGGCCAGTTACAGACGACCTCAACCGTTACAGACAGGCCCCAACGAGAGAAAGTGCTGTGCCTGCAGGGTCTGCGCACCCCCACCACAAACACTGCTGCATCAACATTTTGGATCTAGTGGGTTCCTCATGTCAAAAGAGAAAACAAAATAGGACATAAAAGCAAAATGGTCTGAGAGAACTAGAAAGCCTTTCAAGTCATATGGTAAGGTCCTTTACCTTAAAAATGGTATTTTCCTCTTCTTGTTGAGGGCTATGCCGAGTGGCATGTTTCCAGGGAATCTGGAAGCGTTTGGAGTCCCTGTGTAGCCAGATGAGCCCAGGGTACAGACCACTATCCACCTGGGCCACCAGCCAGGGCTTCAGCCGAACTCTGCGGGGGTGGAGGGCCATGATCTGGGTGGGGGAGGGGGGAGAAATGGGGAGAGCAGGAGAATTAGGCCAGTCACTGGGAGCTTTTCCCAGCCACCGTTCCCTCATGGTAGAGCTACAGTTTCATTAGATTACAGCAAAGAAACTGAATATGGGAATAAACTGTGCCAGGTGGGGAAGGAAAGAAAAGAGGTTAAAAGGTTCTTTTGATTCTTATTCCAAAGCCATTTATACTTCATGCTCTAGCCAAATCAGACTTATCATGTAAGTAGATCACATTTCTTCTATTTAAATCCTGAAACAGAAAAATGAAAAGATGATGTCATCTCTGCTGGAACACAGTCCTTCCTGAAATACCAAGGGCTTTGGAAGAGAAGGAAAATTGCTCTTTTTAATCTCATCTCTGAGGAAGGGGGGTAAATAGCTATGGAAACAATAAGGAAGGGTATGGGCAAGAATCTGAAGCACTCTCTCTTTTTTTGACAAGACAACTAAAGACAAATGGGAATGTTTCAGTCAAAAATGACACCCTCATGGTGAGAGAGAAGTAGGCTGGGCAGGGAACGGGGGTCCCAGGTCCAAAGGCCTCACTTACATAAGTGAGCAGGCAGCGTGTCCACAGGGATCTGAAGAGCTGGGACTGGAGTCAGCTGTCCTTTCTCTGGGCCACCCAAAGATTCTGTATCAAAAAAAAAAAGGGTTCGTAACTGGTTATCCACAGAACAATCCTCCATAGAACAATCCAGTGTGTGGGAGAAGACTGAGGAACACTGGAGACAAAGGCTCTGAGAATCCTGCCCTGCAACTGAGTCTGGTAAGCTCAGAAGCCCTAGAGCAATCGAAGACCACTGTTCCTACCCCTACAGTACTAAAGACAGTCGCTGCACTGCTAGGACAGGCTGCTTACCTGGATTTGTTTATTTCCCCACAGAGGCTGAAGTAAACTGATTGGCTGCAGAGTCTGCCTGGGTAAAGTCTGCAATTGATTCTCATAAAAATACCGAAGCAGAGCAGATAACATTCAGGCGCCCGCACCCACAGCAGGAAACAAAGGCTTGCCTTGGATTGTGCGCCCCAGGGAAAAGCCAGTCACTGGAGAACTGTTTGCCTGGGATGTTACACTTAAGATTATTATTTTTTTGATGTTCTTGGTTTTACTTTGTTTTCACTTAAGGTGAGAAAGAAACATCTGAAAAATAGCATTCATTCAACAAACAGTTGGTCATCAGCACTATGCTGGTTACCAAACACTCAAGCTCAGTGTTTTTATCAGAAGAAATCCACAGTGGAACAGCTCAAGCCCCACAAAGACCTGCAGAGGAAAGGAATTGAAGTCACCTTCACACCCAGAAAGGTCCCCAGCAGGATCAGGTTCAGAAACAAATCAGTGGAGTCAGCAGAAGGCTCCCACTCAGAGGAGCCTAGTTGTGGGGGTGGCCCCTAATACCACTTCTCTCCCCAGCCAGACTTCCGTCCAATGGGGAAAACCCAAACCCAGCTCAGCCCCTGGCACTTTAAAAGCAAGGCTGGAACTGCTCTCACCTGAGCCTTCTGACCCAGTTACCAACTCGTGCAACTGAAACCTTCCCCCTGGGAGCACAGCTCAGTGGGCAGGGCAGGTTGGCTGGCATACCCTGTTCAAGCGCCCCCCCCCCACCCCCCTGGTCCTAGCCCTGGTTTAGGTTGTTTTGCAGGGCAGCAAGACAAGCCATCAAAACACAGGGAACATTTACCTTATAAGGAGCGGGGCGGGGGGTGGGGGGGGGGCACAAGTTCCTTATAGGAGGAGGAAACACTCTCCCAAAGGCAAATTCTACCTTCTCCTCCCCAGTCCTAGTCTACTGCAAGGGGGATGGGGCAAGGGAAGGATGAAAAGAATCGAAAACGGGCAGCGAATCAGTCAACCCAGCAAGGGCCTTTTGAGAATTTATATTGCAATGCATCTAAGTCCTGTGTCTGGGCCTGTCTGACACGTGAAATCCACCCCTTGATGGATGGATCATGGACTTTGAAGAAAATTGCTCATTCTAGTTGATCCACAGCCCATGAAGAAAAAACTAAGGCAACCAGGCCAACACAAGGAACTTGCACATGGCAATGGGGAAGGAGGAGCAGCCACCCAGAGTCCCAAGATTAAGATCTGGAGCCCTGGTTCCTCAGCGTTCTCCCAAGATGGCAGTAGCCACGAGCAACCCCGCCCCGGCCTGCCCTCCTCCACGCCGCACCTCCATCACTGCTAACCTCTCTGCCTTCCTAAGTCAGCCGAGATCTCCCCACCCCACCCGCCACCCAGTAACTAAGAGTCTAGAAATAGTCAGAGAGGGAAAAACTGGAAGCAACCAAATAACAGAGAAGAGTGACTAATTACACGTTCACAGGCTGCAACATTAAGCAACCATTAACAACAGGGCATCTGAAGAATTTTTATTGAATTGGGGGGAAAATATAGCATATAATACCAACTGTATAGTAGTATCTCCTTTTTATAACATACATGTGGGTATGTATATACCTACACACAGGATTTTCAAAAGGGAAAGAATACACAAATGCAAGAAGATATTCTCAGTGGAAACCTGGTGATAAGATTGTAAGTGAATTTTATAGCTGCCTATATACTTTATATGTAATTCACATCTTCCTGCCATGACATGTTTCAATTTTTTTCAAAAAAATATAAACTGCATGTAGTATTTTTTTAACCACAGGAAGCTGAGACATTTCTTGGCCACTGGAAGGCACAAAAGGTGATGATGGCCTTCAGCCAATAAGACCATGGTGACGATGACCCTTTATATCTATACAGGCTTTACAGTTTTTACACGAGTGCTTTCCTAACATGTCTGATTTCATCCTCCTGATCTGGAAATGGTTTCATTCTCACCCCCACTTATAGTTGGGTTCACTGAGACACAAAAACATTAAGCACTTTATCTGGGGTCTGGATCCAACACTCTGAGTCAGGGTGTGCTGTAGCAAATCCTGCCACTGCACCCTGCCGTCCAAGTCCCTCCCTTACACACTAAGAGAGTAAACCCAAAACAGCAACAAAGATGCCCACAGCCTGAAGAGCCAATGAGTGGTTAGGAGAAGTCTGCATGGCACCCATCTTCGAACATACCTAAATCAGAGTTTTCTTTCAAAATGTTCTCACCACCCAAACCCTAATGCCCATAGAACAACCCTGGCCTAGTTGAACTTGGCCCTGGTCTCGCTAACTGCCATCCCAGTGAAATTTCAAGGCCTGTATCACCAACATGTATTTAAGCAGTCAAAGAACAAAGATGCTAACCCACCCACTCCCCTCACACAGGGCACGGAGCAGGCACATTTTCAACCTCCCCAAGGCACTAACCGTCCTCTCTCACACTCTCAATCCAGAAGGCAAGTACTCTATGAACACACCACAGACACCTCTGCAGCCCCTGCCCAGACAATTTCCAGGGACACTGCTCCCCCAAAGCCCAGATTTGGCTGTCAGTGGTTTTCCACGGAACAAAACACACCGCTATTTCCTGCGGACAGGCCTCAATGGTGGTCCGGATTTTTCCCTTCCTCCTGGAGGGAATTAGAATGCCAGCTTCCAGGTTTCCCAGACTTTCCTGCCGTTAGTTTAGCCCTGCTCAGGAGTAAATTCTGGGTCGGTAGCCACAGTTCCCCTGCCTTCCTTCTCCGCTGGAGTGAAGTTGGGGGCTGTGACAGCAATGTGCAGGTACTGGGTGCCGCTGTCACTCAGGCCTCATGCACACATTGAACCCTACGCCACGCTCCTGGGCCGGGCCCAGCAGTCACCGACGCACTGGAGCGTCTTCCCCATCTGCCGTCCCTGGCTGCCACTTTTGACATCCACCAACAGCAGGGTTGGGGCAGCGATGACCTCTGCCACCAAGCAGAAGCCCCGTAAAGTGTGGCACCCCGGGCCTCCCTTCCAGTAAGCCTGGGAGATTTTCCACATTTCTCCACACCTGCCCTGCAGCCCCCACGGGGGCAGAGGGCCTCACCCCCGAGCAACCACCCTCCCTACATACACCTAGCTGGTCTACCTGGAAACCCACTGGTGTCTACCAGGGTGGCAGGCCTGACTGTGCTAAACAAAGTCAGGAGGGAAAACAACCTGGCTAAATGGGCCTCTCCACCCCCAATTTCCCAACCTTCCCCCCTCCCCAGCACCTAGGGCCAGCGGACCCCGGAATTCCGCCCTTGGGTACATAGAGGCCGGCGTCAGCGCGAGCCGGTAAGACTGGAGGGGTGGAGACGGCTCAGCTCCATCCGACGGTGAGGGGGTAGGAGCCGAGAGTGGGTTGGGCGGGGAGAAAAAGGCAGTCGACTGAGTGTAGGGTCCGGAGGGCCCAGCGCTCGGGGGGTGGGACAGCCCAAAAGCCACCTGGACGGGGCAACAGGCAGCCAGTCCCAGAGGGTACCCCACTCGAAAAAAAAAACAAATAAATACAGAGCAACTTTCCCTGATCCCACAAACGCTGGAGCGGACCTTTTTTCCACCAGCGGGCGTGTCCCTCCTCCCTCAAACTAGCCTCCAGAAGTTGGTGTCCCCACATTCCCTCAATCCGGCTACCAGAAGCGGGCGTCCCTCCGACCCATGGACCCAGGTAAGATCACCAGTCGACACTGTGCTCCTCGAAGGGTTAGGCAAGTAATACCTGGCTCTACGGAGGTAGGGACTGCGGGCTCCGCTGGCAGTCCCCCACCAGCCCTTACCTGCTCCGCCTAGGTGCGCCCAGCTCACGTCAGCGCTTCTCCCTGGACGCCGCAGTCCCCAGGCCACCTGGCTACTCCCAGGTGTAGCCACGCCCTCCTGCGCTCAGGATTGGCCGGTTGCGAGAAATATGAAACTGTGTTCGTGAGCGGCCCAGCCCGGCCCAGCCCCTGCCCCACAAAGTTCCCCTGCTTCTTACCCCGACTGAGAAATTTTCCATATTCAAGCTCACACCTTATGGGGGGAGCTGGTGGTCTAGGGAACAGGAAGCGACTGGGAGGTCAGATCTAAGTCTAGAGGGTGACACCCCTCGTTCGTGCCCCTTCATTACCCCGCGGTACAGAGACTGTTAAACACAGATAAGGGTTTAAAGATTCTGGGTTGGCCCGACGACCAATGGGCCTGTGGACACAGGATATGGGGAAGGTATTCTTGGTCCCTTCTGGGGGAGAGGAAGCCCAGTGGCTTTCAGAGCAGGAATTCTGCCTTTGCTCTACCTCTGTCCTGTGTGACCCTGGCTACGGTACTTAGTTTCTCGGTTTCAGTTTTTCCGTCTATTAAAGAGGATAATAGTCCCTGCCTTTTCCAATAACTAACTCTCTAGTAAAGATGAAAAGCATGGCCTCTGGAGATTCGCAGCCCAGCTGTTAATCTCATTTCAAAGTGTTGGGATCCAAACCCCAACTCCACTGGTTACTACAGACTTGGGGGAATTTCTGAGTCATCTGGACCCCAGTTTCTTATTTGAGGTAGGACAAAGCTAATAATAGCCACCCCTTAAAAGGGTATTGTGGGGAATCAGTATGTTACTTAATATAAAGTGCTTGGAACAATATTTGGGACTTATCGAGTGCTATATAAATACTTGCAATTTTTTTTATCAGTGTATGAAGATAAAAGTCCTGTATAAACAATGCCTGACAGAACAAGATGGGATCTCCTGTTATTACCTGAAATTCGAGGCCTGTATGTGCCCGAACAGGTATTCGATGAGATTTGCCTCACCTTTCCCTCTGCAGTGAACCCCAGTCTGTATGGAATACATGCTTCAAGTCCTGGCCAGGTTGCTCAATTGGTTGGAGTGTTGTCCCATACACCAAAATGTTGCAGGTTCGATCCCCAGTTGGGGCACCAACAGATGGCAGTCGATCGATGTTTTTCTCTCACATCAGTGTTTCTCTCTCTCTTTCCCTTCCTCTCTGTCTCTAAAAAAATAATAAAAAAATATATCCTCAGGTGAAGATTTAAAACAATACATTCACAGTACTTACAGTAAGGTGTATAGCACTCTATGAGACCCTGCCAGCACTGAGCTGTCCCAGGTAAGAAGAGGCATAAGCAGAGTCCTCAGGTTTTGGAGTTTCAAGCACTGAGTGAGAGACTGTGGAGGAGCAGTGTGGTGGGTTAACTGTATCACCCCTAGATTCATATGTTGTGTGTCAAAGTGCTATCGCCTGCAGTAGCTCAGAACGTGACCTTACTTGGAGATAGTCTTTATTGAAATGGGTTTTGAGAGAGACAGGAAAGGAGAGAGGGAGAAATATCAATTTGTTGTTCCACCTATTTATGTAGTCATTGCCTGATTCTTGTATGTGCCCTGACTGAGGATCAAACCTACAACTTTGGTGTATCAGGATGATGCTCTAATTAAATGAGCAATCCCACCAGGACATGGAGATAGAGTCTCTACAGAGCTAATCGAATTATGATGAGGTCATTAGGATGGGCACTAACCAATATATGACTATTGCTTATAAAAAAAAAGGAAAGCGGGACGTAAAGACAGCCATAGAGGAAAGATGATAAGAAGAGGGCATCTCCAAGCCAAGGGAAGGTCTGAAGCAGATCCTTTCCTCAAAACCCTCAAAAGGAACCAACCTTACAGACACTTTGACTTTGAACTTCCATCCTCCAGAACTGTGAGACAATTTCTCTTGTTTAAGCCACCCAGTCTGTGGTCCTTTTTTTCGACAGCCCCAGCAAACTACAGTGCAGGCAGACTGGAGAGCTCCAGATTTGTAATAATGTGGACTTGACTCCTAGCCCCAGTTAAGCCTAGGGACAGAGCCGTCACAGGCCTGGGGGGACAGAGCCGTCACAGGCCTGGGGGGACAGAGCCGTCACAGGCCTGGGGGGACAGAAATTTCCGAGCCTCACTCAGCCAGCCTCCGTCTCAGCCCCTGCTTATGGACACCCTTCCTTCACGCAGGGGAAGGGGTATCGCATCAGCACAGCCAGATCTTGACTACTGAGGAGCTCAATGGACAAGGCCAAGGCTGGGCTCCGGAAACCAGACCGTCTGCTGCAGGTGTAAGGGATGGGGGAAGACCACCAGGAGGGTCTCATTTAGGGGGGCTAAAAGCCAAAGGCATAGAAGCATAAGTCCACACGTAGGCTTCATATCTGCACTAGCCGAAATTGCCATGACTAAGGTGATTTATTAAGGATTTTCTTTAGAAGACAAATATTTCAGAAATGGAAAATTCAAGCTGGGAGGGCCCTTAACATCCTCTAGTCTAGAGGGTGAAACTGGCTTAGATATATTCGTTTGACCCACACAGTATTAAGCACCAGGAGATTTCACATAAATAACCGGATTCTCAGTACCCTGGGCTGGTGGTTCTACCTGGCAGTAGCTTCCCATGTAGAGGGGTCTACCATTGCATTTAGCACAACCCCACCCTATTGGATTCCCTCATTTACTTTAATTGCCTGCATTAGTTTGCAACCTCTAGTCCAAATTCCCCCTTTTTACAGGTGAGAAGACTGAGGCCAAGGGAGGTCAAATGATTTGCTCAAGGTCACACAGCAAATTAGCCACAAAGCCAAGACTAAAACCAAAACCTAGGGCTCTTTCTACTTAGTCCTGGCTCACTACCCCAGCCAGAGTTTATTCTTGTTAGATCTGCACTGGTTGTTAATTTTTTAAAAAATCACTATGTATCTAGGCACTTTTGGTACTAGGGTGAATAAAACTAAGTCCCAACCAACGCTCGGGTCACTACTGAAGAACCAGTGGAAGGGGATGAAGCAGGAGGAATTAAAGTAGAGATCAGGAGGAACTTTCCCAACTCTTTGAATGGTGAAATCTGGCGGGATACACACCTCATCTGCTTGGTCTAAGGAATAAAAACATACTGTGAAGCCCTTCGAGGCTCTGGAGGAATCAGTTCTAGGTCCCCAAAGAGATCCTCAGGATTCAGACATCCCCTGTGTGGCTCAGGCCTGCGATGTTCCCAGTGTTTGCTCTCCATCCCTGCTCAGGTAGGGCGATGCTGACTCACCACTGAGTCTGAGTTTCAGGCAGTAGGATGTATGTTTCAGCACTGGGTCTCTGATTCACAAGGACAGGGACTGGGGATTCCCCATTCCTGCTCCCAGTCGGCTCCGACTTGGTGAGGAGGGGTCTCTTTCACCACTCAGAGGCTTTAGCCTCTACAATATCAAGCATGAGACGAATAAAGTCATGTGACCCCAAACCCACTCTCCTTAGCAGAGCAGAGGGCGTGGCAACAAGGGAGACTCAGTGGCTCCATGCAGGAGAGAGCTGAGGGCCCCTGGAGCCAGTGACAGCGCATGCTCTCTGAGATTGAGCTGCAGGCTGGTGGGGCTGCTGGTGGGGCTGCTGGTGGGCTGAGGACTCAAGCTATACAATCCAATTCTGTGCTCTCAGAGGCGCTCAGACCCCAACCAGCCTTCTGGAAAGCCTTTGCAGTCCATCAGGTCTGCCCCAGTCCTCTCTCCATCTTGGTTTCCCTTTGGTTCCATTCAAGGTACGGAGGCACAGATGAGCCTAAACATTGCCTGAACTACACTCTAAAATTTAAAAAAAAAAGTTTATTTATTTATTTTTAGAGAGAGAGGAAGGGAAGGAGAAAGAGAGAAAGAGATCAAAGTGTGGTTGCCACTCCCAAGCACTTGGCCAGCAACCCAAGCATATGCCTTGACTGGTAATCGAACCAGCGACCCTTTGGTTTGTAGACCCACGCTCAATCCACTGAGCTACACCAGCCAGGGCTAAATTTTAATGCACATCAGTTGTTGCCCCTTCCTCTGTCCCCTTACCCTCCATAGACTCTATCCCTGACTGCTATACAAATCCTAGAATTATCCATATTTCTGCCACAGAAGCTGCACCAGAAATAAATTCATAAATGAATCTCACTTTTTAGCCCAGTCAATGAAACAGACTGCCTCGGGAATGTAGGAGAATTCTCACTAAGTTTTCAGACTCTTTTTATCCTTGAGCCAAACTGAGCACTGGTAAGTGTTCTCAAAAAAGCAGCTTTCTTTATTCCAAACTTGGGTCTATGTGGGAGGAGGAAGGGGAAACCAAGGCCCAGTAAATCCCTTGGAATTAAGCTACCCACTGACCCCCCACTCCTGGGGACCCTTCCTCTATTCCTTCTTTCCTTCAGTGCCATACTGGGGGTCCAATTCCATCTCCTCCGGCGAAGGAAGCTTCCATTGGCCCTGCAGACGAAAGAGCCCAGTAAGAAACCACAACTATCATGAATGTGAGGGTTCACATTCCTGATTTCAAATACGCTGCCCTGTTGGGACAGATCAGGGTCCTGGTTCTGACTTCATGGTCAACACCAACCACCCCACTGAGTGATCCCATGCTGCTGTGGGGTGGGGTTGTAGATATGAAAGCTCTCTGAAACTGGCCAACTGCTGTGCAGACTGGGGAGATCACCACCGCTGTGGTCTGCTCTTTGTTTCCTCATATAAATGATTCTCTCCAGGTCTCAGTCACATCCCGGGGGGCAGCAGGCACAGGAGATCCTGGCACAAGGCTAGTCTCAGGGTAAGCTCTGTGAGCACTGGACAATGTGTTGACTTCAGAAAAATGAGCTATCTGGGTATATAGAATGGGAGGGGGGAGTGTGGTAAGAAACCGGACTGGTCGATCAAGCATGTTTTACCCCCTCTCCCTCTCCATACCATTGCAGTCTGTGACAATGAAGGAATTTTTAAAAAAAGATCGACCCACAAGTTTAAGACAGGACTAAAAGCATGGGAAGGGAGTTAAGAAGGAATAAGAGATTTCACCAGAAACATTAGGAGAAGAAATATTATTTCAACAAAAATAGAGAGT